CAGCCACAACTCCTTCAGCCATCAGAAACATAAAGTTTCCATCATAGAGATGTTATGAGGTCTGTTGTATAACATGAATATGACTTGATGTTGACAGCAGTCTGTTATGACGTAGGTCTGAATCATGTGTCACGGTGCCCTAATTTCCCTCTGTTAGTCTGCTTAATGTCCAGCCAGCCGGCGTTGGTGTTTTCTAAGGAGTAGCCTACTCTGTGTGGGTGAGTAAGTGAAAAACAGTGAGCTCACAGGGAGGGAAGCTCTAATACTGAGATAAGGAAGACAGAGTGTTGCATAAAGTGATGGGTGACGGACAAAAATGAGCTGGGTCAGGATCTTGCTTCGGGACAATGGTCTTTCACAGAACTGAGAGCAAGAAAAGAAGCAGACACACAAGTTACAACTTCTTTTAAGGGAAACGTGGTGACAGTCGGATGGGTACTGACAAAGAGGAAATCATAGAGGAGTAAGAGTGGAGGTGGAGGGAGAGCAGCAGGGTTATAGTAAGCTTATTCCAAACATGTGCTTTTGCCATTTAAGCATCTAGTCGTCAGAGCAGCCAGTGCAGCTCACATACACGCAAACACTTATTCAACTTCTGTCTTTCATTACGCCTCTGAGCACCTTCAGTGCTTGGCTTTATTTGGTGTGTAATTTGGTCAAGGCACGTTAAGTTCTGGGTGATGTAGAAACAAGGATACCCCTTTATTTGGTCTGCTATTGAGCGATTATCTTTATTTTCTGATTACTTTTTTTTACCCCCTTCAACTCAGCTTTGCCTTCGTCTCCTGTTTTTCCTCATGCCTCTTTTATTTATATAATTGAATTATTTATATAATTCAATTATATATTTATTTATTTATATTTAGGGGAGGCTCTGGCTCAGATGATAGAGCGAGTTGGCCGTTAATCGGAAGGTCGGCGGTTCAGTCCCTGGCTCCCCCAGGCCACATGTCGAAGTGTCCTTGGGCAAGATTCTGAACCCCAAATTGCCCCTGGCGGCTGTTCTGCCAGTGTATGAATGTGTGTGAAGGTTATTTTTTGTTTGAGCACTTAGGCTCAGTGTATGAATGTGTGTGAATGGTGAATGCAGAAATAGTGTAAAAGTGCTTTGAGTGGTCAAAAAGACTAGAAAGGCGCTATACAAATACGGAGCATTTACATATTTGACAAGTAACAATTTGTATGTTATTGTATAGAAAGTAACTGTGTATGTGTTCTTTGTGAGTGAACTGAACTACTTTGTTGTGACTTCAATACAGTACAGCAATATGACCTTCATTTCTGAGAATTGAATTTAAGCAATACAGTTTTCTGTCTTGTGCAGAATTTATGCCAAACCAGGCAGCATTTCGTTTTTTATTAACATTCCCAGTTTATTAAAAGAATTTAAGTCCTTTGAAGTTGGAAAATGTCCATCCTTGACACAATCTTTTACACTTGCATATGGCTTAGTTTTTTTTCCATTTTTTTTTCAAAATGACCAAACTATCATGGTCTTTCACAAAAAGAGACATATTTGCCGTGCACAGTGCTTATGAGCATGGAGTTGGAGGACTATTTGAGAGGTGTCAAACACGTTGTCAAAACCAGTTTGAAGAACTTTGAAACTCATTGATATTTGATGAAACTGTCAGTGTGGGTGATGTGTGATGTGCAGTTTTAATGTGGGTCATGTCTCACAGGGCAGCAGCTTGAGAGGTTTTGCTGACTGAAGCTAATTTAGAGTTGTGGTGTTCAGAGTCTTAATGACATTTGTAGCTGGTTTATAGGCTCCCGTTTGTGGTGTGCCACTGGAGTTCGCATGAATGAAGACAAATAAGACATCTGAACTCATTGTGATGGGATTTTTCACACTTTTCTTACATTTTGTACTTCATACATTTCCTGGTCGGTATTGAATATTTTGGGTTTTGGACTGTTGGTCCAAAACAAGACAGTTTATTACGTCACCTAGGAAACTGTTTAATGGGTGGTACTTAACACAATAAGGTACATAAATAGTCCTCCATTTGGAGTTATTCACTAACTGATTATTAACGATTCATTAATTATCAGGTCATTCCTGATTCATTCCTTTTTTCGTTCCTTATTAACTACTCACAATTTTAGGTACAGTATTGTAAAGTGGCACTGCTTTTTTTATTTCACTATTTCCTGACATTTTAATGGAGCAAACGATTAATGGTAACAGGTGAATCAAAAATGTAAATGATTACAAAAGGCTTGGTAATTGCATATACTATATATTACATAATTGAATGTAGAGCCAAAATGATCAATTTGTCAATTGGCAGAAAATGAATCTCCCTGGCTAGCTCTATTTTGTTTGATTACAATGCAAACCACAGACCCAGATAACAAAAACCTCTATATCATGTTTGAGCACAGTCTGCCCAGTTTCTGTGTGCTGCCGGGGGAAGTACTGATCTGTGACAATCCTGTCAACTTTCCATGACATCTGAGGATTCATTGTGTTATACACTATCAAATATACCTTAACACACTGAGACTGCCTGGTGTGTTACAGTCCTGTCACAGGACGCTGCTTGTTCAAACAGCCATCTGAGCTCAGCAGTACCAGCGTGTGTTCTGAAGCCCACAAAGACTTTAGTGTAAAAAGTTCACCAGCAGCTGTGGACCAATTAAAATCACCACTCACCACTCCCTAACCCAAAACGGTTTGATGCGTGCGCGCACACACACACACACACACACACACACACACACACACACACACACAATGATAACAGCTGGAGAGAGTGGAAGCAATCAGTAAATAATTAATGATAATTGGCTGTACCCATTCATAATTGATACCTCCAATTACCACTAAGAGGCCCCATCTGAATTTCGAGTATGTGCGTGTGTGTTTCAGTGTACCCAGTAGTCTTATATATGTCACAGAAGACCATGTGTGCATGTCCCATCTGCTGTGTTTGTTGCTGTTTTTTTTAAAAGAATGTTATGAACTATCTTTTAAGGGGTGATGGAGATTAGATGCGTGTTTGTGCTGTAAACATGCATTCTCTCTTTCTGACACGCATAGTAAGTCATCCATTCGCTGCCTTCCAAAATGTTATCTCCACTTGTAGCTGTACAGGCAAGAAACTCCTCTCTCTCCTGATAAACAAATGGAGTACGTGCTCCAGATTCAACATGCTCCCTTATCATAGGTGTTGTCTGGAAATAATCACAGCATACATTCACTACTGAACAAGAAAAACACGGCTCAAGAACAGCTGGATCGAGCTTTCTCAGTCGCAGCCCCTAGACTGTGAATGAATTGCCTCTCTTCATGTCAGACTGGCCCCCAGCCTTCCGTTTTTTAAATCATGACTTAAAACTAATTTTTATTCCTCTGCTTTTAATCTGGGATGAGAGCTATATGTTGCTGTTTTGTTGTGTATTTTGTATATTTATTTATTCATGTCAATGTACAGAACTTTGGTCAACCTGGTTGTTTTTGAATGTGCTTTAGAAATAAAGTTGGATTGGATTGGAAGAAGTTTGTAGATTCTAGTTGGGATGTTTTTTGTACTCTGTCTTGTCTTGGACATTGAGGACTCAGGATTTTATTTCAAGACCAGTCAAGACCATAACTTTGGGAATAACAATAAATTGCTCTTGCATTGTTTGATTTATTTGTTAACATCCTAGCTTTGATTGTTTGTAAAATGTTGTTACATTCCCCGCGATGTTAAGCATGGAAAAGGATCATTGAATAAAGATGCTTATGTTGATTTCAGCTCTTCAGGTGTACAGTGTTTGTACGTGGGTGTTTTAATGGGAATGTGGATCTTTCAGATCAATTTGAGAAGTACCTAGGATCTCGTTCCACATTTTATTGTGTGTGGGGAACTGGTCTTGACTTGGTCTCGCCCTCCCTGGGTCTTGGTCTCAACTTGGTCTCAGCCCCTAAAAGTCTTGGTCTTGTCTCGGTCTTGATAAACTCTGGTCTTGGTCTTGATTTGGTCTCGGTTTGGGCGGTCTTGACTACAACACTATTCGATACCAATACCAGTGAAATTCCACAATTCCTGATACCAAATTCGATACCACGTAATAAACATACACTCCTTTTAATAAATTCTCTGGTATAGTAAAATAAAATAAAAAAACAACAAAAAACAGCGTATTTATTTAAAACTAACAACATTACGACAGATGACACAGACTGGTAAGCGGTTTGGAAGGCAGCCTACTACTACGAGCTATGTTTACATTACGTTAGCCTGAACACTGATGCCATTGCGAACGTTGTATGTTACATAGTTGGCCAGGCAACAAAGCAATGCCAGTTGTCTCAAACAAAAATAATAATAACACAAAGTACTTCTATACACAGCTTTTAGACAAGTCAAGGTGGAGCTGTTGCTGCTGCTGCTCTTGTCACCATCTTCCACGTGTTGAATCCCCATTACCTAGACTACCTACAGTACCGACATGTTTTCATAATTTTGGTATCGTGTTTGGTTACTCAGTGTCAGTTCTCGGGACATCCCTAAATTCTAGATTGGCAATGTGCAGCCATGCAACTTATGTATTCATTTATATTCCTCCTTTTATAAAAGTAACAATAAAGCAAGGCTTTAATATCTGGCTGTGACAAAGTATATAATGTTAGATTGTCATGTTTTTCACACACATCTGTGGTTTTACAATGAGTGTTGTTCAGCAGAATTCATCAAGTCAGTCGTTTATCAAACAAAAATGTTTATCAATCTGTTTCCAGCATCATAAATGTGGAGATCTGCTGCTTTTATTTGTTTTTTGTTTTAATCATTGTAAATGATAATAAATAAAAAATACTCAAATATATATGGTCATAGGGCCTTATATTTATATTTATTGTTTTTGGGGGGGTTTTCACAGTTGCTGTAAACCCTGCAAGTAATTCTGTCATCAAGTAGTCATTTGACAGTTTTTGAGTGTCATTGCGGTCTTCCTACACATAAATAATAGCCAACTCTCTCCCATTCTCTATCCACACATTCCTGCAGATCACCACTCTGATCAACCATAAAGACAAGCCAAAGAAGTCAGAGCGCACCCTTGCAGCCATACACAGGGTGGGTCAGGCGGTGAGCGTGGCTGTGGGACGTTTTGTCGCCGTCGGGGAGGCCATCGCCACAGAGAACCAAGAGCTAAAGGATGAGATGGGTCAAGCCTGCTTTGAGGCACGCAGAGCAGGTAGGCGTCTTTGGCTGGATCTTAATATGTGCAGCACTCAAACTCAACACAAGTGTTTCTTTCACAAATTTATGCTGTAAAAGGGTGAGGGTGCTTCATCCTAAATGCTTCTTCATAGTGGCTATGTTCCTGTCAAGTGCATGGCCATGGCTTTATGATCTTCCCGAACTGCCAATGAGGATGTTATAGTTGGTTATCCAATGAGACTTAAGTTAATGTCTCCATCAGTGTTTATTTGTCAAGACAAAGTGAGAGTTTCATAAAGCATCAGGCAACACCTTCAGGTTTCACTGTATTATCAAATTTTAGCAAATTTCAATTTGTGTATACGGCCTGGCTGTCAAACAGTATTAAACCCCAGGATCTCCAGAGTGTTCTAAAGACATTGTTGTTATTAGGTTGAAAGTAAAGGCTGGGGAAAAAAAAGCTTTTTTCACCCAAGGGTGCTGTGTAGAATAAATGTGTCTGCACCGGCTTGGAAAGCACAGCATAATAGATTGTGATAGAAGGCTGCTGGAGACTTATGCGTCAGGCAGTTGCCGAGATTGAAGGAGTTGTAGTTTTCCCGATATTCACTGCCTTATAGATTGCTTCTGTGTTACGTTGAGAAATATTTCTCAACCTGAAGTCAGGACCCCAATTTTGTCCCACATTTTGAATCCAATCTGCTGGCTGGGTCTTTTTTTTTTCTTTCTCTTTACTCCTTATATCTGCATTACTGCAGCTTCTTTCCCGTTCTAAAACTTGCAGGTTAGGTGATAGACTATTAATCTGAACAGACTGTAGTCTTGCCCAATGTGTGCTACAAGAAGCCCCATCTGTCTGGATGTTTGTGTGGATGTATCAAGTGTAAAACAGTAAACAGCTGACAGAGACAAAGAGGTACTGAGGGTTGCAGTATATTGGGAAACTTAGTTCTTATCAGGCAAAACAAGGACCTCATTTAGCCTTCTCCAGAGCAGAGCGGAAACAATATCACATTGGATAAGAATTTAGACACAACACCGTGATAATAGGTTTATATTGGGGGAACCAGCAAAGCGTTTAATCCTCACACAGCTCGGATTTGTAAAGACGGCTAAAACTCAGACAAAAAGAGAGAGCTGGTGGGAGGAGGAGAATAGACTGATGGGAAAATGTATGTGTGCGCACGCGGGTGCGCAAAGGTACGGCTAAGTAAAGTATATTCGTGCATTTGTGTGTGTGTGTTCATGTGCAAATGTCTGGTTGTGTGTTGTCCACAGTGACTAATTTATTTAACTTCTCACTTTCCTCTTTGGGAGGTGTTTTCACAGTTTTCCCTTGCACTTCTCCTGGCAGACACTGTAAAACTGTTTCCAGATTAAAAAAACAACAACTTTTTGTCTGGTCTCTGATCATTTTCTTTAGAAATGATGGAGACATCTTCAGGGATAAAAAGACTTTGCAGTTTTTAAGTCTACGGGAGAGAGAATGGCTAGTTATCGAAGGACTGACATTTCTCTAATACCTTGCTGCAGGGAGAGCTTAATCAGGCAGGCTTCAGCCTTGTGTGCTATAATGAATTAAATAAAGGCAGGCTGAAAGCACTAGTTTAATTAGATGCTACCCATCATCAGAGCAGTGGAGAGATCCAATGAGGCAGGTCAGTGAAGGCAATCTGTGTTGGATCTCTGTCTCTGTCTCTTTCACTCAGTTTCTCAGTGTCATTCTCACATCTGCGTGCTTCTGTCTCACTTTCTCTTTCTCCTTCAGAAAGATTCAAGATACGATGCTAGTTGGAATCAAAATCAAGTCATAGCACATACTGTATGTGAGTGTTTAAATACTGGACTACATGTGGACTACACGGACAGGGCAATAAGTTAAGGAATAAGCCTCTAAGCATACCCAACACAAGGTTGGCCTTTTTAAGGTTTACACTCATTTCTGAAGTCTACAGCAATGATAGCAGTTTAGTGAGGCTGTTCTGAGGCACAGCGGTGCTTAGAGCTAAATGCTAACATGCTGATGTATAGCAGATTTATGGATCTTAGTTTGGCATGGTTAGCATGCTAACATTTTCTAATTAGCACTAAACACTAAGTATAGCTAAGCCTGATGGGAATGGCATTAGTCTTGAAGGCATTAGGTCATAAACTAAAGTATCAGACAGGTCAAAATGTTTGACTGATAATGGCGCTCCACGTTCCAAAGTTAAGGAATCCCCCAAGTTTGTACAATTTATCCTGAGGGGAACATGAATATCTGTACCAAATTTCATCGTAATCCTCCGTCAGACAGACAGACATTGCCATCTATTGAGTCATCCAAGACTGACTGCCTGCAAGCACTGTACCAACACATCAAGGATCGCCCTTTCAAGTTTTCACTTGTGAATAATAAATTGATTATACAGAAAAAAGGAGAGTTCAGTATTTCTGATACATGATTTTCCATGTAGGAACAAAACCACTTTACAACAACAGAAGATTTGAAGGCCACGAGTACATTTGATAAGTAAGGGGGCAGTGGGAGGATAGCTGTTTTACATTTAAGGTCATGAAAATTCATACTCTAGTCCATACCATCCATATTCTGGTGATTTTAGACAGTTGGCTCCCTCTGCTTTCCACCCTGGTAGTGTCACAGGGGGGAGTTGAGCAGCATTCTTTGTGAGCCAGGCCTAGATGTTTTAACTGGTGGTTAGCGGAGCTGGCACTGAAAAGCAGCCTGTCGGATGCAATCAGTTTGTCGGTGCTGCTTCTTTTAAAAGACTAGCCAAACCCCATAGACAGCCAAGCTGCATGACCTGATAGAGGTCCAGCTATCTCCCCTCCCCCCTCCCTTTCTGAGCTCTCTTTCTCTGAGATTTCTCTCCTGATCCGTCTCGCTCTTAACGCTGGACATTTTCCTCTTGATAGGTAGGTACTATTTCGGTGATGGGTATTCAGCCTAAAACTCCGTATTCTTCCCTTTTTGGGGCTAGTATGAGCAGGATAGAAAGAGAGAAACAGGGAATGCTGGACTATTTATTTATAAATATTTTCAAATTTGCATATTCACTATATAATTCGTTTGTATAAGAATTTGCTCTACCCCATAAATAGCTCACATCATCCAGAAAGCATACCGGTAGTGTTTGGGTAATGCTGGCATAGCTGTCGTACCACTGTGCTGAATATAGTACCCTAGTGTTTCATCCTGTCCAGGACACTCTGTTCTCCCAGTGTTGAAGAGTGGCAGATTGGAAGAACACTGTGCCATGGTGTTGTCTGAACTAACTTAGAGGGCATTCAGGAAATCATCTGGTTACCATCCATCCTTCAGTTTTCTGCCTCTTATTTGGGTCCAGATCACAGTGGCAGCAGGCTTTCTTTCTCATTTTTGATAAGCAATACCTGTTTTTTTTAAAGATTTGTACTGAGCAGTACATTTTGCAGTTGAAAAATAAACGTTTAAGTGCTTTCTAGTTGATGTAATGTATTTAATGCTGTTTCTAAATGCGCTTGGACACATCATGTCTGTACTGCTATTTCGTGTTACCAAAATTTTGTTATAATGGCACAAATTAAACTGTCTAGATCAAGGTGATTAGAATATGCACAAGCCTAGGAAGAATGTAATACAAATGTCCCCACTTACAGTTAAAACATTGTGTTTTAGTTGTCATGTTTGAAGTTATTTTTGATCTAGGGCTGAACGATTTTGGAAAATAATCTAATTGCGATTTCTTTTTTTTACCAATATTGCGATTGCGATTTAATATGCGATTAATTTTTAAGCTCTTTACTTTCTGTATTATTCAAAATGGACAAGCAATAAATCAGTGTATAGAATGACCAACACAATATTAGATAGATGGAACCTACACTGTTCTTTCTTGTGGGTCAGGCCTGTGTTATGACGAATTAGGTAGAATTATTATTATGAGCAATGGTGGAGAAGATATATCAAATTATAATAACATGAACATTAAATAATATGATATAACATCATCAGGTCGGCCTACCTACAGACTACAAGAAAAAGTAAGTTCACCACAGTGTGTTATACAGTAAGAGCTCAATAGAAAACCCACAGTTCAACCACCAATGAATGAGTCTTTCAGACTGGGCCTCTTTCGGACTTGTGAGTTTGGTTTGAAACGCCATTTCACAGATATTTTCTGAGCTGACTGGTGACTGTGTGTGTGATGCAGGTGCCACAATACACTTACCTTACTACACATGTCTTTCTGTTCTGCATTTTTCCTGTCGGTCAAAGCCGCAGATGGCCCGACGATTTCGCCCACCACCACCACCAAGTTACCTGTGGGTGGCGGGTGCTACTTTCATTCCCTGTGTGACACTAAAGTTTATGTAGTGTCAGCTTCTGTCAAGCTTAAGGCCATTGTACAGCAAGAAGGCAAGGTACAGCGTAACGTGCAGACAAAGCATCAACTGCAGAATGCTTTCCTGTTGGGTGTCAAGTGACCAGAGTGTAATAGCAGCCTTTGCGATTAGAAAATCTCGTTTTATTACATTGCGGTAATATCGCATAATGCAATTAATCGTTCAGCCCTAGTTTGATCCCAGTGAGATCCAGGCAGTGAGGAAGCTTTATATAGATTTTAAAATTGGGAAAAAGAGACCACTGGTATGGGATACAGTACAACGTATCGGCAGATAACCAGTTTAGGTATACAAATCAGTAGCAGCAGAGAAAAAGTTGTATTGTTACATTCGTATACACCAATAAAAAATATCAGACATGTACAGTTTATCAGTCTGGCTCTGTTGCTGAACCAAACTGTACCCTTCTCTCCTCTCTTGCAGGTGATGCCATAGCCCAGCTGACAGATGTGGGATCAGCCGTGCCGTCCCAGTTAGACGGACGCGTCACTGTGTTCAGTGATAGGACAGGGATGGTGAAGGCTGCCCGCTTGCTTCTCTCCTCAGTCACTAAAGTCCTGGTCTTAGCTGACCGCATTGTCATCAAACAAATAATCACATCACGCAACAAGGTGAGATATGCAAATGCAAGATGGCATATCCATTTAAGATTAGGCATAAACTCTCTCTTGCTTAGTCTCTCTTACACACACAGACACACAGACACAAAATACACCCTCACACACACACCTTAGCAAACTCCATCTTGAGTACTTCATTTCCTAATAGATAAGCACTGGCTCTCTGAAAGAGGGCTCTAGAGGTAATTGAAGGGAAGCAGCACATTTAGCGACCGCATAAAAACACAGAGTGAGACACTGTCTCTCTCCATTGTACCTGGCTATGCTCTTAGCCAGACAGTGTGATATGGATGCAGCTGTAGACTGAGCCAAGAATGGAAACGGGGCCTAATCGTGACTGGTTAGCCTTGTTTGGACGGACAGTCGACAGCCCCCTGTTCTCCATTACTGGAAAACACAATTATATCTCTTCCTCCTCTTTGTCTGGTATGGATAAAAGTAGATGCATTTGCACTGCCAGCTAGCCTACCCTCTGCAAATAAATTAGCAGCTACAAAGACTACTATTAGCTAAAGTGCAGGTTAGGAACTACTTAATCCGCTTATTTTATTTAAGGATATAACTGATATAATTACATCATATTGAGCCATTAATACTACAAAAGACAGCGCTGGAGTAACACATAAATTGGATGTAAAAACCCACAGTTCTCTTGTAAGGAAAGGGTTCTCTCTTGGGAAATAAACATGGTATATGATATTCTCGGTTGTTCAAGAGCAGTGTTTGTTAGGTTGCCACAGTGTGGAAGGGCTACAAGAACACCAACCACTCAGCCATTCAGTTGATTTTATTTTATTTTTTTACTCCTCTCAGGTCCTGGTTACACTCGACCATCTGGAAAGAGTCAGCACCTTCCAGGAATTTGTACAGATTTTCAGCCAGTTTGGCAATGAGATGGTGGAGTTTGCCCATCTCACCGGAGATAGACAGAACGTGAGTAGTGTGTGAAGAAACCAGCGCTCACCGCTTTTCAGTTTTAAGAGTGTTAAAATCATCAGCACCCTGTAAATTTCTCTCAGTAAATGAAATGTAAATGTGGTCTAATTTTGCTGCATATGGTTATAGTGATGGTTATGAACATGCAGTAATTTGTCTCTCTGCAACACTGAGCACATTATTTATTCATGCAGATGTAATCTTCTAAGAAGCAGATATTTTCTAAACATGGTATTCTGAATGTGCAAGCAAGTGGTGGAATTAGACTGTGAAACCTGCCGTACTTACATAGGCAAATCAATAATTCAAGCGTCAAACATTCACACTTCCCAAAAAATCAATCAACAGTGAAGTAACAAGGAGTCTTCAGGCGTCTCTTGTTTCCACACTGTTTCCTTATTCCATTCTGTGTATTCATTTTTTGAATCCATGTCTCAATCCATAAGAGAAATGAACAGGTCAGTTGTGACTCATACGCCACAAACACTGTTTACATCACGAATCAGTGTTGATATAACTGACCTATGCTTTCAGGAACGCATTCTCTTTGCAATGTATCAGTTTCTATCCTAGCAAATTTGCTAAACAAAACTTTTGCTCAAAGCCTCACAAAAACAGACCAACTTAGGGCTTCTTACTTTGTTCTGTCAAGGACTGCTAATCCTACTTTGATGCATACATTCAGCCTTTGCAACTAAAGCGCTTTGCCTGCAGAAGCTGATGCAAAGTGCAACGGCTGCAATATCTAGACAGGGAGAGAGGATCGACCATCATTCTTTCTGAACTTCTTCGGGGGCCCATGTTTTGACACGCACATCATATCTCTCACCAACGCTAATGCTCTTTCTCCTCATTTACCACCCTAATCTTTTTTTTATATTATTCACTCCCACTCATGCACATGCAAGCACACAGCCCTTTAGAAAATCTACCATCTTCATCTGTTGAAGCACAGAGGCAAAAATATTGTCTTCTATGGCAAAGTGATGGCAGAGGAGTTGTTTCAGCTGCCTTTTCCAAATCCCCTATCTATCTAATCCCAGCTGTCTATTTCTGTTTGGAATACATGGAGGGGTCATACACGCTGTGTCTTCTTTCCTATTCTGAGAGCTCTTTTTATTTGATTACAATTAACCTATGAAAGGTTTGTGTGTGTGTAGACTTGGAGAGGAATCTCGGTAACATTTGTGTGTCTCTTCATACCAGCATAAAAGAGATTTGTTGCATACTATTGATGTCCTTCAGACACCCCAAGAGTTCTTAGAAGTTGCAACTGGAGTAAAGCCACCCATTACCATCTGGTGTGTGTGTGTGTGCTGTAGGACTTGAAGGATGAGAAGAAGAAAGCACGGATGGCAGCAGCCAGAGCAGTGCTAGAGAAATGCACCATGATGCTCCTCACAGCCTCCAAGGTAAGCAGCTGGCACACCAACAGTAGACCTCTGGGCAAAGGGTTATGGATTATGTCTAGTTTAGTATTATGTCAAGATTCACAAGTTTATTTAATTTCAAGGTTTTTTCAAATGCTGTAAGCAGTGGTAATACTCAAAACTCAGTCACGTAATCATAAAAAGTGAGAGAAGAGAGTGAATAATCATAGTTGAAAAACAAGACAAAGGACAGAAGTTTTAAAAGAGTAGCGGAGTGCTCAAGGTTTGACATTTCACATCGAATTCCCTCCAAAGACTTGCCTGAGGCACCCAGATTGCGAGTCAGCACGGATCAACAAAGACGCCGTGTTCCACCGAATGCGTTGTGCCCTGGAGCAGGTCATCGAGATAGTCACTGAGGCACGGAGCTGTGGGGAGAACAAGATCCTTCCTGCCAGCATCTACAACGGCATCAAGGACTTCAAGGTAGGGTCAGAAATTAGACTTAGTGGAGTAGTCGATATATCTTACAGTAAAGGCTTAAGATTAGGGATGCCCCTCTGACAGCTGTTGGCCCATGAAGTTAAGTAATGATCCTCTTGTGGCTGAAGTGTCATGCTGAATAAATTTTTTTATTTTATTTTATTATTTTTTTTGAGTGCGCTTAAAAATCGCTGTAGCACAGCCTTTTGAAAAATGGCAGTGACATATTCTATTGATATTAATAAGAAAATTTAAGCAGAAATCATTAAATCACAATCTAATTGTGGCTCTGTGTGAGTGTTGGAGTGTGTGTGCAGCATTCACTGTGTTTGTTGCAACAGCTTCATGTGCAACTCAGAGAATCAACACGGAGGACCAGCCCAACCTATTTTATAATTTTGGTCATACAGTTGTGTGAATCTCCATTAAACCTACATCACCATGAATAATCTCCTCTGTCCTTCTTGTACACTGGCAAATGAAAGCGATAAAAAACAAACAAATGTGAAGGGTCTTTTCCATTGAGATAAAAGAAGAAGAAAGTATTTTAATGAAAGGACCCAGAGATGTGTATTGCTTAATAAATGGCTTCATAGCTCTTAATGACAGAGTTTAACTAAAAGCTTATGTAAACCTGTCATCTAAGGACACATAAGCAGAGGAGATTACTTCTCTTAAAAACATATCTTTGTTAAAAAAGACAGGAGAAGGCTGAAACAGGAAAAAATGCATCAGCTTTTATGTTTGTGTACTTGCTGTTTGCAGAATTTATTGTGCATCTTCGATGGCCCCAAGGTGACTCAAAGACTAAACCCATAGTCAAGAGTCAAGAGTATAACGATAATGAGATAGTAAATTATGTTTTGTTTTTTTTCATTAGGACATTTGTTAGTAAAACGTCTGTGTGTGTTGCCACCTCAGTCTTTTCCTTTCTCTTAACAATCTTTCCCAACCCTCCTCCCCCTCTCCTGCAGTCCAGCGTGGAGTGCCTGCGGGAGAACCTGTACTCCTTGTCACCACAGAGCATGGGCAGTCAGCTGGAGGCACTGGTGGAGCGGACAGAGGACTTCACTGATTCGGCCTACACCAGCCACGAGCAGCGGCAGGCCATTCTAGGTCTGTGCCAGCTGGCTCGCCAGGACACTCAGCAGCTGGTGCACGCCTGGGTCGAGGCGGTATGTTGGCACAAGCAGGCTCGCTTGCACAGATGCACATACATCTACAGGAATATTCATAAAAACGTGTCATACCATATTAAGAATCCAGTAGTAGCTCAGTAGAGAAGTACCTCATCTGTAAGAAAAGTAAGTTCAGTATCTTATAAAAGGGAGTACACCTATCACATTTTAGTAAATATTTGATCATATCTTTTCATGTGACAACACTGAAGAAATGACACTCTTTTGCCAGCCCTGAAAAATGTCACAGAGTGTGGCGCCCGCAGTTGCTTGTCTGTGGCTGCACAAAGTTGGAACCACCTTTTTGCCTGATCATTGTTGTAAGCTCATGAGCTTACGCCATCTAGGGGATGTAGATTGTGTCTGACTTGACAGCGGAGGGGAAGGGAGCAACCGAGTGAGAGGAGGTGCGGAGCGAATATTTGCTGCTCAGCGCTGCAGTCCAACATGATAACGACCCCAAACACACCTCTAAGACGACCATTGCCTTGCTAAAGAAGCTGAAGGTAAAGGTGATGGACTGGCCAAGCATGTCTCCACCCTATTGAGCATCTGTGTGGCAACCTTAAACCGAAGGTGGAGGAGCGCAAGGTCTCTACCATCCACCAGCTCCGTGATGTCCTCATGAAGGAGTGGAAGAGGACTCCAGTGGCAACCTGTGAAGCTCTGGTGAACTCCATGCCCAAGAGGGTTAAGGAAGTGCTGGAAAATAATGGTGGCCGCAGAAAATATTGACACTTTGGGCCCAGTTTGGACATTTTCACTTAGGGGTGTACTCACTTTTGTTGCCAGCAGTTTAGACATTAATGGCTCTGTGATGTGTTATTTTGAGGGGACAGCAAATTTACACTGTTATACAAGCTGTACACTCACTACTTTATATTGTAGTAAAGTGTCATTTCTTCGGTGTTGTCACATGAAATGATATAATTAAATATTTACAAAAAATGTGAGGGTTGTGTACTCACTTTTGTGAGATACTGTAAGTAAGATAATAAGATGCAAAACAGAGTTACCCAAGCAAAGAGGAAGAGATCTGGGTTGGGTTACTATTGTCAGTGTAAGGAATGGCTCACACAGTCATTTCCCCTACTCACTTTCTTTTCACACGGCCCTCCTGGAACAACGAAGCATAATAACCCATCCGAAAAATAGTATTTACCGAGGCTTAGAGAGAAACATCACGTAGTGTTCCGCATTTGGCTGCCATTCAGCAGAGTCTCCTTGGCCTTCGAAATTGATTGGGCTTATGAAACAAGTCATTATGTTACAGTTTCTTATTGTAAACGTTCAAGATTACACAGAGAGACGGCTGCCACATATCCGTACAGTAGCGCCTCATCTAGCCTTTGCAATTGAAGGTCATCTGGAGAACTCAACAAACACTGCATTGTTTTGAAATCTTGAGTGTCCTGCCCAGTTCAATTTTGGTCTTGGTTTCTTGTTGTGGCAGGTTTAGGAGCATATATATTTGTTTCCAACTGGATTTGTGGAGTCAGACAGAATGAAATTTCAAAAATTGAATATATATATAAATATTTAATTGGGATAATTTGTTTAAGCCATTTGCGTTTGATTTAACACAATTCCATGTTGAAATGCCCGACTTTCTTATTGCATATTCAGAACATAATAGTTCACAAGTGTAATTGGAAAGTCAAAAACTGGCCTGTAAAGCCAAGTTGGGGCTCATATTTTATTCTCCTCTCCCTCTCTCACCGCAGCAGTCTGCCCATGCCAAAGAGGCCACAGAGGACATGGAGGTGGCCATCCTGAAGACATGCCAGAGCGTCAATGACCTCAGACGTGAGGTGAGCGGCAGTCTTTCTCTGCTCTTCTCGTCGGCCCTCTGAGTCTGAATAGATGTACTCAGCTACAGAGTGACACAGACATGACTGAGATGTCTCTCACTGGGTGTTCTGCCTCTGTAGCTGGTTTCCCCCGTTTCTTTTCCCCCATCACTCTTCAGCTTACCTGTCAACTCAACTATGCCATTATGTCACCTCTGCTCTTCTTTTTTCTCTGCCTCTTCAAAATCCACTCTGCCTCTCACTCATCTCTCATTCTCTTGTGTTTTCTCCAGCCTCCATTACTCGCTTGTCGTCTTATTCTGCAATTTATTCTTTGATTCCTCCTCCAGCTCCATAAGGTGGCAGTCGGCCGTGCCTCAGACTTGCTCAAAGTTCACGGGGAGCAGCTGCCTCTACGGGCTCTTAAAGCCGCAGGCGCTGAGGGAAACCTGGAGGCAGTTGCGGAGTATTCACGCAAGCTCACCGAGCAGAAGGAGCAGCTGGTGGAGGTAGGTTGAGGCAGGCGCAAAGGAAGTAGGGAGGCTGGGAGAGGTTTGGTGGTAGTGCCACCTAGTAGAGGTGTTCATCTGGTAAATAATACACCAGTAGTGTAGTGAAGTTTAGATTTTTCCATATATTTGTCCGTACTCATCAATCTACCTTTTTAGGCAAAACAGCTGACATGCCACAAGCACTTGTTTATGCTAGGAAACACATACAGCTTGAGATGAATGGAAATGTAGACTACACTTCTAATCCGCAACCAAATTAAAGTAAACGTGGTTCTGTTATGCAAACACTGAGCAGAAAACTACCATGCAGGCTTTGTCATATCTTTGCTAGTGGCATAAAAAACAAAACCTGTAGTATAATTTGAAAAGAGACATTGTGTAGTGGTAAGAGTAAAAACTGGGGAGAAACGTTTTCTTAAAGATGCAGGAATTCACTCAGAATCCACCCACACTAAAAATAAAGCTTAAACACCATTAAAGTTATTTTATCTTCCTGCTGGACCCACATGAGTGCCTAAGGTTATCGTGTAAACCTCTAAAATATATATATAAGATCTACCACTGTAAGTAAGGTCGTATGACCACCTATGGTTGTGTTTTTGCCAGTTAGAGCTGAATTGGTAGGCAGGTACTATATATACAGTAACTTTTAACATTCATAACTGCATACACTGCAGTATACCTTTCAAACCTCAGAAGCACCTCCAGTCAATCATTGTCTTCCTTCTGTGACCTCAGACGTGCCGACTGCTGGGCCACGTGTCAGGCACAGAGCCTCTGGAGATTACCTGTGTACATGCTGAGGAGACCTTCCATGTCATTGGTCCACAGGTAACATTAACCCTCCAAACATTTCCTGTATGGATTTTGGTTTTTGGTCGGTTTGATGCTATACCCCATTGACTTGATGTGTAAATGGCAGCAAACAGGGGAGACAGGATCAGTCTCTGGAAAGACATACAGGTTATCTTTGATTAAAACTGAGCCCCGTTTCATTCCATTCAACACTTTTATTGTATGTCAGTAAAGTCAAACTGGTCTCACAGTGGTCTGGGAGTGAAATCAAACCTGAGTAATATTCTACTTAGATGCAGTGGGGAGGGAAAATAGACATATTCCCTCACGTCTCCTCTGTCTGCCTCCTACACCTGCCAGCTATTCAAGATGGCTGAGAACATGCCGTCCACCAAGTCCCCCTATCCCACATCTAATTATGTTTGCTCTTGGAAAAACGTCCATGCCAGTAATTATCCAGCAATGTAGAATGTTCCCGTTCCTGCGGTGCTAATGTCAGGCCCCGCATGACTCCGCAGTAATGACTCCGCTCCTAAGTTCAAAGGTCAGCCAATCAATAACGTTGCAGTATGGGGTGGCGCTGGTGATATGTCTCTCTGTGTGTGCCCAAAGTAATAGAGGGGTGGCCCAGAGGGTAATTGGCTATTAAATACTACACTGTGGAGGAGGGGTGTGGGGCGTGTGTGTGCTTGGGTGTGTGTGTGTTTGTTTAAGTTAGATTGGTCTGTGTAGTTGTCTGAAATCTTATTTCCATTGAGTCTAGAAACCAGACTAGATTGCAGATATTACTAATTGTTACATGTGTTTCAAACATTGCAAGCCTGAGCTCGGTTACGTGTGTGGTGAGATGTGCTAAAATGGACTTATCAACCTTAATCTCTTTATTTTGCACCACATTTTTTTCCTCTGTCTTTTACTGCACTTGAATACAAAATACAACTTTTCTCATTCTTCACTCTGCTGCTCAGATCATCTCAGCAGCCCAGACGCTGGCCCTCCACCCATCCAGTAAGATCGCTAAGGAGAACCTGGAGGTGTTCTGCGAGGCCTGGGAGTCACAGCTCTGTGACATGGCCCTACTGCTGAGAGAGATCAATGACTTCTTTGAAGGCAGGCGAGGTGTGTTTTAGTTTACTAAATGGATACTCGCGTGGATTTGGATTCGTGTGGGCAGGACAGTCAGCACATACATGAGGAACAGAAAGCCTTTCAGAGTGAGAAGCAGAAGCGAACACAGGCAAAATGTGCTGTCAGCGGCATTTTAGCCTGAGAGAATCAAATCTGCTGATAAAACCTTGGTGAATCATTTTGACCGTGAACACTTCAATAGCCTCAATGAAAGTTAAAGTAGGCAAAGCAAGCAGCATGAGCATATCTTTAACAAAAAATTCATCATGGATTGTGGGAAGTATTTTCTAAAAGGAAAAATGTCAATGCCATTAAACACCTGTGCATTCATTCCTCCTCTGTACTCCCTCTCTTGCAAATCAGCTGCTTTTATCCTCACTAACAAAGACTGAGACAGAAAGTACACATAGATACTCAGGCATGTGTGACTGTGTATATTTGCATGTACTGTACATTTGTCCGTGTACACAGATTTACACAGTATGTTTGCATCGGGGAGTGTTGGATATAAATGTCACAAAACGCGCGCTTTCACATTCTGTAAATAATCTCAAAGACAGGGGAAAGATGTTTTGGCATATTTCCAAGATGCGGTTGCCCTCAAGAATGTGACCTTCACATAAAAAGCACTAAATATTTTGAAGTGCACCTCAGCGGGTGAAAGGATCACATCCATCACACATTTGTATTTCCATGGAGCCAAAGTACCGTGTTAAAATGTAAAAAATATGGACACCGTGGAGAGATTTACTTTCATTATTTTCTCCTAATCTTCCTAGGTGAACATTTGGTACATGACAACAAGTTTATCGCCCATGTAGTTGACTGAAAGGAACCATGCTGTTTGTGATGAAAGATAAAAATGTGTCAAGGGTGGACAGCGATAAAAGCAACTCTGTCATTACCATAATTACTGAATAACCATAATTGCCACCCTAAATGTCTGAAAAAGTGTGGAAATCTACACACAGTCATTCAAAGACAAATAACACATGATTATGTTTTGGTTGTTTTGCTTGTGACCTTGTGTTCAGATAATCACAAATAACTCTCTACTCCTAGGAGACAAAAGACCTTATTTGTCACTTCCTAGACCTGGGGTGAGTATCACTCCATCTATCCTCATGAATGTTCCAGTGATCCAATGGTTTGTAATCCTCTGATTAATGTCGCTCTCTTTTTCCACAGAAACACTCACTCACTAACTTGAAGACTGCCAAGGCTGTCAAGTTGGATGCAGAGGTAGCATACGCCATAAACTCCTCTGGCTTTCAGCACAATACATCACATCACTTCTTGTACGCTGTTCTGACAGCGGTATATTCATCTCCAGGAAACTATGTGTCACTCGCTTGAAGAATTGATAGTGTTCGCATAGTAATAGGCTGCAATTTTGCCGGCCGGCAGTTTTTCACATTGTACCGCCACAGGAAGCAGGATAATATGATATAGTTCTTCTCAGTGTGTAAACAAATTAAAAGAACACTGTTTGCTAATGTACATTTTTAAAATGACACACATTATATTTCAATCTTTCCCATATAGATTTTATTTATATGTGTGTGTCTTTCTTTGTGTGTGTGCAGGAGCAGACTAGCATGGCCAAGCTGGGTCTGGAGCTTCGCCTGCTCTCGTCAGATGTGGACACAGAGGTGGAGAAATGGGAGGAACAAGAGAACGACATTGTCCGGCAGAGCCAGAGCCTGGCCAGCATGGCCTACAACATGCACCTGTTCACCAGGTCCCCGAACAGTACCACACGCTACACAGACGCGCACATGCCTTGATTGTATATCTGCAGCCTGCTGAACTGTTGCATTCATTTCAGAGCTCAACACTGTAAAGCCTCTTAAGCATCCACATGAATCTATTTAGAAGCTTAGTGTTAATGAGAATCCCCCCTCCAGCTATCGATAGGCTCTGACAAAGTTGACATGACTATAACTCATTCTGACAATAAGATGGTTGCGATTCATCTAAGTTTTTGATTGCTGTGGATCTATTTGTCCTTATCCAGCTTTCTCATCCATGTTTCCTTTCCTCATTTTCTGTGTTTCCTATATTGATTACCCAGAGGGGAGGGGCTGCTGAAAACAACACTAGATCTTTTTCATCAAGCTGAGGTATGTGTGTCCATATCCACTAATCTTTCTTCCTATCCACCTTCTATACTATTTTCCTCCCCGTTTTATCGACGTTGCAAATGAATGCATCTGTTGTTTCATTAAACCAAAGACACACTGGGGCTGGCAGATCAATAGGTTAGTAAATGCCAGCATCCCCTCATTCACTTCCCTCTCGCAAATCTGATAGGGCATGACTAGGACTTATGATTGCGATGTGGAGTGCTGTTTGTTCCTGGCCATCATCAGACACATAAGTTGATAACAAACAAGGTTTGTATCCTCTTGAATTGCGATCAGTGCCAATAATGTGCAGTAATATGTAGAATCGGGGCCCAAAATGCCAGGCAAGATTTGTTCCATTTGGAGTGAGCGAGGGAGATAAGAGAGGAAGAACGATAGGGGAAAGAGAAGGGAAGGCGTACTGATAAGAAGAGCCAAGAAAAAGTTCATTCTCATAATACTGTGCTTTTTCTGGCATTCAAACGGCATCTTGTTGGAACTTAAAAGAATTATAGTTTTGCTTGTATTTATGTGAGTTTTTTGATTTTTGTCTCTTTTTTTCTGACTCATTCTTAAGGTTTTCTCTGAAGAGTGCCTCCAGCTGTGCTCATCTCTCCGCACTTTTTGCACCCAGGTATATACTATTAAATAAGTCTCTTACTCTCTTGAACATACACCAACAGTTTAAGGCTGAATTCCAAATCACGATGTGCTCACATGATACCATTTACAAATATGTTTGCTCATTATGCACTCTAGAAAAAAAAGAAAGAAGCAATTAAATTAAGAATTTTTGATTCTTGATTCTCTGGTGAAATCAGTATAGGAGTAAGAAACAGAAAGAAATAAACCAAATGAGAAAAGAAAACTGCTTATTTTCTTTTACCCAGTATGTACAGTAAACCCATCTGTATGCAGACACACACTGGCACCTGTGCCCCCACCCATGTTACACCTCTCACGCACATACACACCCATATCACCCTTTCTGGCATGCCACGGTCCCAGGTCCTCCTTATAAATCACACAGCAAGAGCAGGAAATTAAGGCTGTCACACACTTTCACCATCCTCTTTTTCCTCTCCGAGTCGAGATCCAACAAACAAACGTAGCCTCTGTGCCTTCGTTCCACTTGCCCTCTACCATCTTCTTCCCCAGGTCCTCCCAAGTTTAATTAAACGGCTCTTTTTGACAGCCATTAACGGCTGCCATTTGTCACCGCTGCGTATGTTTGCGCACATGTGCGTGTGTGGAGGGGATGAGAGCGTGGGAGTTGACTACGACCGCCCGGGACTAATTCATAATCAGGAGGCCCAGCTCTTCAACTTGTCTCACGCTTTCTGATTAATTACATCAAACAAACTGTTGCTAATGGAGTCCCTCTGTCTCACCCTCCACTCCCATAGTTCTTTGGCGTCAAACACACTTGTAACACACCTGTGTTGCCCTCATTGAAATTATGAGGCTATTTATGCAAATTAGCTTGAGCATTTTTTAATTGTTTTTATGTACTTTTGTCAGTCATGAGTAGCGCTAGCCTGAATAAAAGAGCTTGTGTTTTTTTAGGTCATTGTTGGCATGCAACTGGAGTAGATTGATGGCCCCCGTGACAGAGACCTAGGGATTAACTCAGCTGGATAACAGATTTAAGCAGTAGATCATGACCTGGCTGTTGCGGAGGGATTACATCAAGCAGCACTAAATTTGAATTTATTTCATCCTCCTTTTTCCTTTTTGTGATGCTTGATTTGTGTTTCACCAAGTAAATCTATCAATGTCTGTACATATTAACCCAGTCTCCCTGGATAATGCCGCCATAAACCATCCCTGCTGTCCTGTAAGACATCTCTCTCTCTCTCTCCCCACCCCCCACCCCCACCCCCCCCTTGTTCCAGCTGGTTGATGAGGAAAAGTCTGTGCTGATGACAGAGATGGAGAAACTGGTGGCATTATGCCAACAGCTGCAGATGGGGTCCAAGACTCCTGTACAGGGCAAGACTGCCACCTTCCAAAAGGTACCCATGTGTATCTAAATTTTGTTTGTAAAAAAATTAATGACTTATTTTTTGTTGTTTGGGGGCCATTAAATGAGTAACATCACACAGAACAGACTTTCTTTAGTTTTTTTTTCTTAAAGCGATAATTTGCTTTCACAGCATCAAAACATATCCAACAACAGACAGGCATCAGTGAAGCACTGAGCACACATGACTAACCAATAGAGCATGACTAACTTACTTCATTACTGGCCACGGCGTAGTCTTTGAGTGATCTGAGTAACACCATTATTGAACACAGGGCGCCAGATTAATGAATGTCTACGAGGAATTAATGAGCATCTTGGGCAGGGATGAGCTGGCTTAGGTCACCTTGTAATAAAGGGGAAGGTTAGAATCAAAAGGACAGGATGAAGAATAGCATGTCCTCTGCTGATTAATGAGCATCTCTTTGATATGTATTGCCTCCCATCTCTGTCTCTCCATCCTGATGTTCACTTTATCTTTCATCACTAATGGGATAGTATGTGTCTGTCGGGGGGTGGCACAGTAGAGCACTGATCAGAAAATGTTAAGCGAAATGCTAATCGCAGTTTAGATGGTGATGTGTGCGCATGGTTAGTAGTCTTCGCGGTGGATGTGTTTTTATGTTCTTCTGCATTTGTATCTAATGTGTTTCCATGCTGCCCCTCTTAAACTTTTTATTTTATCTTTGTCTCTAGGTGGACTCATCCATTCAGACAACCAGAAACATCTTGACTGTGGTCGTCTCTCTCCTCCCATTCTGTAACAAGCTCAACAGAAAGGTGAAGCCACTGAACAGGACTCATGGCTGAATGAATGACCGGCACTAGTGTTAGCTTGGGGGGGGGGGGCGTACACAGCAGCCTGTTGCAGCTGAAACCCATTCTGATGAGAGCAGGGAAAGTGAACCAGATCAGTAAAATTGTGGGCCAGAAAACCAAAATAATGAGCTAAAAGATGCCAAAACACTACATAAAGCTCAGGGGAACTGCATAGTTGAGTGAAAATAGATAAAAGTATGTTGTTACATTTGTTTTCTCCCATTTTGTTGAAGAATTTTTTATTTGCACATACATGCAACGGCATAAAACCAGGTAACAGAAGTTTCATTTATTTATTTATTTAATGCGTTTATCCAAAGCAGCTTACAAAAAGTGCATTCAGCTATGTGGCTACAACCCCAAAATTGCAAGAATAAAGCATCAAATTCATCACATATGCTGAACTGCTTGAAGTGCTACATTTAGAAACAATAACAGATAGACAAAGAGTTGACAGAGAGAAATAAAACAACTGGCAGAGGCGAGGTCATTTTTTCAAAAGATAGCGAGCCCTTGATTTTCAGATTTTGTTTCCTTCCATTCATCACCTATACATGCTATGTCCGCTTTCAGTACAAGTCAGAGAGGAGTAGCCTGGGTTCCCCGCAGGACTGGAGAGAGAGGCAAGATGGATCCACACCTGTCAAAGAGGAAGGAGCTCTTAACAGCAAGAACAGCAACGGCTTTGGTGTCAAGTCCTTGGAGCAGCACATGGCCGGTCTCAACCTCCTTGAGAGCAAATAATCCCAGAAATAGTTGCCTCCTTTGTCCATTATTCTCCCTTGGAGCAGCACATGGTCAACCTCACCTTTCTGGAAGATATGTAATCCAGGAAATACTTCATTCCCCTCATTCTCATGCACCCACCACCAGATCTGTGGGGTGAAGATAGTTTCCTGGGTCGGTCAGAGTTTGTATTTGCTGTCTGGATGATGAATTGAAAGTTTACAGAGATAGAAGCAGATCCAAGCTCTAAGTGCCCAGGGGCAGTTTTACCCCCAGGGTAGCGCTGCACATTTTTCCGCACCAGTTCCACCCCAGTCCACAAGATGGAGACAATCAGCCAACACTATGACTTTACCATTTTAAGTGAGCCTATTTAATTAAAGAGGGGCCTGACACACACCTGCTTTTGGAGTCAGTTGTATCACTTCTCTGGATATTGAGTTGATAAACTGATCAGAAATCAGGAAAGAACCCCTCTTGATGCTCAGCCATACATCTCTCTTCAGTATGTGCCTCTGTGTGACAAGCCTATTTGTTTTGTGGTGTACTGTAAACGTGTTGCACATGTTAGCCAAATGGAGGGCACAGTGAAATGGCTAACAACCCACCATGCATGATGCCATCATCACCAAACCCTTGTATTTGTTTGTGGTCAATGTGTCATACGTTTGTTAACACTTGTTCTGTAATGTTAACCATAGTGGTACATTCTGTCCTTGATCACTGCCATTGCAGTTAGCATCTCACTGGGATAAATAAGTATTTTAAAAGTCAGCCATGCCATATGATTAATGTCTAATTTCCATACAGTTTGCTATGGAATAATCCCCATGTGCCATGTTAGTAACAAAATGCAAAAATCACAATTTAATGCCAAATATGATTGTTCTCATGAAGACGCTCTGATCTTCAGCTTGCTTCTTGTATTAAATATAAAGCTCTTAGTCCTCCTGTGTACATCACTGGAGATTTTTTATTCCGGCCTGGTTTCTCCAAAAACTCGGAAGATAAACATAAAGTGTATCACTAAGATGCTTTTGGGATGTCAAGACCTTACTTTATACTGTCCTGGTGATTATTAAATCATATTATATGTATACTGTTAAACATTTTTTCTCACATATGATATGAAAGATATTTCTGAACTGGCACCTGTGTCAAATGGAGCCTTGAAGTGTACTTGTTATGAAGACATCATTGTGAAGCTGCCTAGTTGGCCAATATGTATTAAATGGTATATGGTATGTATAAAAATGGTACGTATGTGTGTATACGTACACACACACGCACATTATATATATATATATATATATATACATATATATACACACACACACACACACACACACACACACACACACTTTAAGTATCCTCAGATAATGACTTTGGTACTAGGTGAGGGTGTGATAGTGACTGAAATGAATAACATACATTCAGCTTTAGAGATGCTTTGTACAGTGTAAGAGCAGCTAAGGATGCTGGGTATTGTAGTGGCGCTACAGATGTGAAGAAATCATAGATCTAGTTTTGGACCATCTATTCTTTTGAAAATTGAAAGGTTAATAAAGGTGATGCATAAGAAATAAACAATATTTTTCTTAAATCACTGTTCGTCTTTATTGACATTCTATAAAAATAATTCAAACTGAATATTCAGGGTTCAGGGTATTTAACAAACAGACTTGTTTTTGTCTGTAATTGCAACTGTAATTTGTCATGCTTTCCTCTATTTTCCCATTTTTTTTAAATGAGAAAAACCAAACAATAAATAAAGAATGCTTCCTGACACCCTCCTCAATTTCCAACACAATGAAATGCAATGTGTAATAGTCTAGAGAGGCACAGTACAGTGCTTGCATTATACACAACAGTCCCTTTGATATGACCAAACATAAACTGTCACTTTCCAGTATAATGTTTCCAGTCTTCATCCAAACTGGTGGGAGTGGAAAGGAGGGAAGCTCTCCTAGAATACTTTTTGACTGAAATAAGGCAAAAACATGGAGCTCTGTCAAGTGGGTTGTGACTGGGCTGCAGTGCGTTTGGAAACAACACTCTCAAACTCCTCTCTGCTCAGAAGATTCTCTGTTATGCTCTTGCTCTCCTCAAACTTTGGAAGGATGACAGCAATGTATCCTTCGGTGGATGGCTGTTCAGATTGGACAAAGTACAAGTACAACAAAGTAAAAAAATTGTATTGATGAGATTAGATGAAACTGGTAGAGAAACTGAGCATGTGGATGAAACTGTCATGCAGACTTATACGATATTGACAAAACAATACATTGAAAGTGTTAAATTAAAGTTGTATGGCCAAATGCAGGACATCCAAAATAGTGTGCAAAGCTGACTATTTACATTAATAGATGCAAAAATGTGTTATTGGCAATTCAAAGGACTCATTCACAGCATGGATGGACATATACACACACACACACACATATATATATATCTATCTATCGTAATGATAACATTACAGTGTAAAAATGTAATTTGTAATTTACCTTTTCCAGCAAGAGAGAAGGTGTTTCTAAAATATTTTCATTGACTTCAAGAAGACGTCCACGGATGCAGCTAAAAAGATGATAGACTTGTGTGACTGATCATGACATACACGCATGTGGAATGTATGCCTAGAAAAACAAATCATTGTCTCACCTGTAGATTGTGTATTCAGTTTCATCTGTGCATGTTATCCTACACAGAGGTGCAAAATCAGTAAGGAACTGACCCCCCTATAAAGGGGAAAAAATGTGAGAAGTGAAGAGAACACAAGTACAAATGTATGCCTATATACCAAAAAAATCTCTGTTTTATGGATTATTATTAATTTACCCGCTTGGACTTCCCAGACACTTTATTGTTCAGCCGACTGCAGCCGTTACTGATCTGGTAATTGATGCTTTTGACTGTCCGCCCGTTCTGAAGGATCGGGTGAGTGTCTGCTAACGTGACAACACATATTCTGCAGAGAGCAAGCACAAATTTAGAAGTGTGCCCGAAAAATAAATACCAAAAGTTAACAATATCAGTGGTTGAAAGCCACTTATACTAACGTAACGTTACACTTACATTCAGTGTGGATTAAGTTGAAACAAGTGCGACACAAAACTTCGGGGTAAATTAAAAATGCACAAATTGATGGGGACTTAACGTTACCTGTTTGAATGCTGCAGAATGCAGTGGTCCTCACATGGATTCCCTTTCATATCTAAATAAAACAACGGCAATAACTTAACGTATTTGTGACATTTAAATAAAATGCATTATGCTGGGTAAGTATCAAAATATTTAGTGCTCTCCCTCCCTCTTCTCTCAAGTTAAACTAACGTTAGCTGACTCAGCCACCGGGCAGCTAACATGAGATACATTTCAGTGAGACTTTATTTACCGGCTCTGTACCATCGCGTGTAATATCGGTCGACAACTGAAGGCGCTTTTGCTTCTGTGTCTTTCTCCTCCACGCAGTCCATCAAAAGTGTTCACAACACAGCTTGTAAGAAAACGACTAACAGTGCCTACGCTGCTTCACTATACTACTATGCTAGACGGACAGCTAATGACGTGACACCGGGCGGTCCGTCCTTCGAACAAATCCGAAACGTTTAAGAGCGAAATGGTTCCAGGAATTCTTTATCGCTTCTTTGGAGGACTGAAGAGGTGAATTTGACACTTTAGAAATACAGTGCTTAAGGCTGCGTGAATACCCGGGCAAAGTAGGCAGCTGCACCAGACAATCACGAGCCCCATTTATTGTGTGTCACTTGATTTGTTGTCAAATTTATCAACAGTAACACGCAATATCAACTCAAATAAAAGGGACCTTAAGGCTGCTCTTGAATAATTAACGCTACTTGTGTCATCTCTGTCTTGTAAAGGGGCCCCATGTCAAGATTCTTAAACAAACAAATAACCACAGGGGTCAATATAGGCCCAAAGCAAAATGTTTGCAAGTTGCATTTTTCTCGTCCAGTAGCAGGGTCATGTGGTCATACCCATGCTGTTGGAGGCTGTAGAGTTGTTGTTCCCTGGGACCTTACAGGTGCTGGTCATATAATTAGAATATCATAAAAGAGTTGATTTATTTCAGTAATTCCATTCAAAAAGTGAAACTTGTATAATGTATACATTCATTCTACACAGACTGATATATTTCAGGTGTTCATTCCTTTTAATTTTGATGATTATAACTGACAACTAATGAAAACCCCAAATCAGTATCTCAGAAAATTAGAATATTGTGAAAAGGTTCAATATTGAAGACACCTGGTGCCACATTCTAATCAGCTAATTAACTGAAAACACCTGCAAAGGCCTTTAAATGGTCTCTCAGTCTAGTTCTGTAGGCTACACAATCATGGGGAAGACTGCTGACTTGACAGCTGTCCAAAAGACGACCATTGACTCCTTGCACAAGGAGGGCAAGACACAAAAGGTCATTGCTAAAGAGGCTGGCTGTTCACAGAGCTCTGTATCCAAGCACATTAATAGAGAGGCGAAGGGAAGGAAAAGTGGTAGAAAAAAAGTGTACAAGCAATAGGGATAACCGCACCCTGGAGAGGATTGTGAAACAAAACCCATTCAAAAATGTGGGGGAGATTCACAAAGAGTGGACTGCAGGTGGAGTCAGTGCTTCAAGAACCACCACGCACAGACGTATGCAAGACATGGGTTTCAGCTGTCGCATTCCTTGTGTCAAGTCACTCTTGAACATGACACAGCGTCAGAAGCGTCTCGCCTGGGCTAAAGACAAAAAGGACTGGACTGCTGCTGAGTGGTCCAAAGTTATGTTCTCTGATGAAAGTAAATTTTGCATTTCCTTTTGAAATCAAGGTCCCAGAGTCTTGAGGAAGAGAGGAGAGGCACAGAATCCATGTTGCTTGAAGTCCAGTGTAAAGTTTCCACAGTCAATGATGGTTTGGGGTGCCATGTCATCTGCTGGTGTTGGTCCACTGTGTTTTCTGAGGTCCAAGGTCAACGCAGCCGTCTACCAGGAAGTTTTAGAGCACTTCATGCTTCCTGCTGCTGGCCAACTTTATGGAGATGCAGATTTCATTTTCCAACAGGACTTGGCACCTGCACACAGTGCCAAAGCTACCAGTACCTGGTTTAAGGACCATGGTATCCCTGTTCTTAATTGGCCAGCAAACTCGCCTGACCTTAACCCTATAGAAAATCTATTGGATATTGTGAAGAGGAAGATGCCATACGCCAGACCCAACAATAAGAAGAGCTGATGGCCACTATCAGAGCAACCTGGGCTCTCATAACACCTGAACAGTGCCATAGACTGATCAACTCCATGCCACGCCGCATTGCTGCAGTAATTCAGGCAAAAGGAGCCCCAACTAAGTACTGAGTGCTGTACATGCTCATACTTTTCATGTTCATACTTTTCAGCTGGCCAACATTTCTAAAAATCCTTTTTTTTGTATTTGTCTTAAGTAATATATTCTAATTTTCTGAGATACTGAATTTGGGATTTTCATTAGTTGTCAGTTATAATCATCAAAATTAAAAGGAATGCAAGGAACACTTGTGTATATATAAGTCTGTGTGGAATGAATGTATACATTATACAAGATTCACCTTTTGAATGTAATTACTGAAATAAATCAACTTTTTGATGATATTCTAATTATATGACCAGCACCTGTACACTGTATAAAACTGGGACACATTGTGAGAGCAATTTTTCACATTGCCCACTAGATGTCAGACTACTGCTAATAACTCCAGTGTATTTTGTAGTCTATGTGATTTGACTCTACGCATGCAAGCTCCTAAAATGACATTCAAGTTTATTCAAATATTATTTATTCGAAATCTCTGTATCTTTAAACTGAACTAATATATCTAGATAAACATTTTCTTATTTAATTAACATGCAATCATTTTGTATTAACAAATATTAAACAATATACCATAGTTGGGACATGCCCTTTCACAGTTTTTCTGTGATCGTCTGCTCAATATCCGTACTTTGAACTACGTGTCATAGTTTTTTTCCTATTTTGCTCTAATGATTCTCACAGATGGCAGATAGACGTATACGTATGTTGAGTCTGCATCCCAGTGGGTTATGTAATGAGGAGGTCTGGGAGAGCATGGATGCAGGAAAGAAGGACTTTTCCCCACGCTGGTTCTGGCAAGTAGCCTCTCTCTGACCCAGACCAATCACATACCGAACATATCTGGCGGGATGTGCCTCTTGCACAATGCTGAGGGAACATTTTTCGGGCATTGGTATCGGCATGAGGCAGATTAAGTAATGATGACTTCATCTTGGTCACATAATTGAGAGAAAGCAAGAGCAAGAGACTGAGAGAGTCAGCTGATGTTTGGTGGCACAATGAGTTTTCCATGTATCAAGTCACCACTACCAAGACTTGGAAGGTTTGTCGAGGCCCATCTTAATGAGTTTTTCCATTACTGCTCAATCTGTGGTAGGACGTGGTCTGCTCTTAATTCAGAGAATGAAACACAAAACCCTTGTGGACGCAGCGGACACAAAGGGGGTGTGCCATAGATATGCAATCTTGCATCAGGAATTTCTAATAAACAAAGCCATCCATAATGTGAGTCAGCAGCTTTACCTGTGATATTTTTCAAAAAATTTCCCATAGCAAACTCTACAGCTGCTGCTATTAGAGCAGTGGTTCTTAACCTGGGGGTCGGGACCCCCCTGGGCGTCGCGAAAATGCTGCTATAGAGACAAAAATAGAAAAAATATAGCTTAAAAAGAACTAGACGGACTATAGTTGTGAATGGAATCACTTTGGGTGGACACTGTAAATATTTTGCACTGTTTAATCCAGCAGGTGGCGGTAATGCCAACCGCTATGAAACGACAAAGAAGAATCAGGCCCAGCTCAGACATAGAACCTTTGCAGGTTCGAAAACGCAGCGCCTTTTTTATGTTGAATATAGAAAAGAGCAAAGCGCTGCGGTTTTTTAATGTTGCTAGGCAACCACTGAATCAGCTGTCCTGTCAGTGTAATCAAAGATTATAGCGCCAGCCATCTGTAATCTTTGGTTTGCCGCTAAGTAATAACGGTCATATTAGCAGAAACTTGATCACACCTCACAGCTAAAAAAACATCTGCCAAACGGAGGGCGCCTGCTCTGGCACTGTTTTGAGTGTGTGAGGTGTACAAATATTTTCAACTTCAAAAAGGGGTCGGACTGCCAGAAAGGTTAAGAACCCCTGTAATAGAGCAACATGTAGATGCTGGATACCGAAAGTCGGGATTTCAGTCACGCCATGTGGATCAGGTCACATTCATCTTCAGTTTGGATAGATAACATTCTGTGAAAGTTCTTGAAGATGTTTGACAATTTCTTATTTGACAGTGTTGTGCCAGAGGGAAAACAGTCCCATGTGTCCTGTTAATTATAGCCGGTGACCTCGCTGGATGTTGGTATTTGCAAGAGAGTGTGTGCATCTGTGTTATCATTATGTTCGTTGCCTATATCTGTCAGTCTGTGTACATTCCCAACCTGTTACCACTTATTGTTGGAATGAAACATTGCTCCGTCTCCCACTCTTCGAGACTTGACTTCGAGGTTCACTAGCTGGCTGTCAGACAGGCATCTCAAGTGTCTCCAGCTGCACACGCTTCTGTGTGTGTGTGATTGTGTGTGATACGCACATAGCTCCACGTCAGCTACTGCTACAGCAAAACCCCTTCTTCACTGGTCTGCTGTTTGTCTGTTTGGCTCCGGCAGTCTCTCCCTCCTCATGGAAGTTGTCCAACTTCTTTCTGTTGCTGGTCCTACATGCCAGAGGACAGCCTCATAAGGGAAGAGAGAAGCTCTAATCAAGAGGGCTGATGCCAGTGGCTTCCTCTTCTCCTTCATCTTAGGACTGTACTTACCTAAAGAATTGAGGATTTCTTGGATTGTGGCACACAGTTTTTAAGTGATGCAGATGGAGAGAATTATTGCGAGAATGTAGGTTTCTTTTTCCTAAGTGCTTCAAGCTATCAGTAACACTTTCAGCAATTCATTTTTTACAAGGGGGAATTGCATGCAATCCAGATTGGCTCTCACTATCTCATTTAATAAATGTCTAGGAAAACAGAAAGAGGCATGCTGCAGTTATAAATACTGCCCATCACATTTAAAGCCTTCTTGATTCACTGGTATGTACGGGTGGGATTCAATAAAATAACTGTCATTTCAGGGTAACACCTTTTTTTGAAGGGCTGTCAAATGTGCTTTGTGTCACAGGACAAGAATTTAAATATAGCAAGTGTGTAGCAAGCTAATGCCGTGAACTGATCAACTATTACAGTGTCACAGCCATAGTGACAGTTTACATATTTAGATGGGAAATCAGGAAGTTGTCAGTCTGCTGTCAGTGAATTTGCTAACATGCCACAGCACAGAAACCCCCAGAGCTCCTGATCATTGCTTTGAATCTGGATTATAAATGTGACATCTGCAGAGGAGTGGGATCACCCTGATAAGCTGGTCCCATGTCAAGTTATTATTAGCTTTCTCTGTGGTAGCCAGTGGGCAAAGGTGCACTCAATCATCTCTTATTTGTGGCCTCTCTCCAAAGGGAGCAAGGTCCTGAGTCTCTGAAATATGTGCGCGCACATAAGTCAACTTTATGATCAGGGCCTTTAGTTGAACCATATTTCATCAAGTGAACCGTTCACATCAAGGTTTGCATCCTCCCTTCACAGTGGTCGCAATACACAGGACACAGCTATTGTGTCATGAGGTGGGCCTGAAATGATAATGAATTGCAACTGAAAAGATCAGACTGAATGTTCAGCAAGTGATCCTGAGGTTTTAAATCCAGCGGATTTATTGTTACCATGGAAACAAGACAGATGTCTTTAACAGCTGATTGTTGTTATTTCCCCTTGAACTTTCTGCTCTTTCGTTGCTTTGTAGTACTTGAATTCATGACGTGGGCCTAATGCTGAAGCAAGTGGAGATACCACCGTCATCTACACTTGCTTTAGCATTAGGATAGAAATAGGAAGGAGTAGTACAAAATTTTGGGAAATATGTTCTTTCTCTTCCTGAGTTAGAAGATTGATGCCACTCCCCTATCTGTCAGTGACCTGTCAGAGAGCATGACCAGAGTCAGTAACGTAGACATCTGCTTCTGATAAAAAGATAAAAAAGACATCAGTATTTTAGACATGAGCGTCTACAGTACGTGTGTGAGAGAAAGGGATTAGGTGTCCCTGGCAGCAGACCAGGACATCTCTTGAGCACAAGCTCATATATCATGTTGTGTGAAAACATTCTAATACAAAAATGCATGATGGTCAAACAAGTTCCTGTAAAAGTTTACTTTTGAGAGAGATTTTACCCCACAGTGCTGTTTTTTCACTTTGACCACTGACGTGTGAAAACAAGAGGAAGTGATGTGAACTGCTGACTGTCAGTTTGGGACACTGTGCTTTCATCTCGTATTTAGTAAAGGTCAGTGGCGTGTTCTCCCAGAAGCCAAGGGAAGCCTGGCTTCCCCTGTTTTTATCAGACTCTATTTATCATTTCAATAAAAACACAATGTCTATAGTTTCGAGAAAGTTGTTGCGTTCATCTCTTCCCCATTTCTCACTATCTTATAATAAGTGAAACAGCGCCCATCTAAATGCTCCGCGTTGGATGTGTGGTGAAACACTATATTGCACCACCGTAGACTGGCCTTCAGTCTGACTCATAGGGCCTTTCTCAATCTGTGTTTTTGTCTGTACTTGTGTTCTTGTGAAACGTCATCTTTTGTGGCCCAAGTACTGTCCCAATACACAAATTTGCATTTTGGCAAGAACGATTAAAAATCCCGGAAGTGTTCATGACACGCCCATTTTACAGAGGATGCATCGGTTGGTAACTTGTGTGAACTTGACGGCAGAGATATCCCTAAATTTTTTCATCACAAAATCCACTTCTGAGAAGGTTTTAGGCGAGAAATCAACTGTGTAGATGGCGAGCTTGTTTTACTAAAAATGATGGCGAATCGAAAATGTGCTCAATCGTTTTCGGAGTTGTGACGCTCCTCAACCGTCAGCGGGGGGAGCTAGTGAACCAGCGCGCGGGGGGGAAGCTAACGAGCTGGCCTGCCAGTCAGCTCACAGAGCCCTCAGACACGCAGACCACTGCAGAGTCCAGCAACAACAGCAGAGTAAAGACCTAAAGCTGTATGATGGTTGTTATTCCTGTTAAAACCTACAATAAACCCGAGGTGAGCTTTTTGTTTTGGGGGATGAAGCCTGGCTGTTATAATAATTAGAGCAATGCAGGCGGCCTCTATGCTGGGGTTATTGCGCAATACCAGCAAGAACGCATTGTCTCAAACTGTCAGCAGCGTTTTGTGTGCTCGTGACATTGCAAGTTCATTCTTCCATGCATGCCTAGCAACAACGTTCTCCCCAAGAACACAAGTCCGTTCTTTGCATTCTTGGTTTTGAGAAACGCCCATAGACTGTATGCGAGGAGGCCAGGCAGAGTTGGCATCCCTTTGTAAAAAAAATAAAATAAAAAATAAATCATTAACCAGTCAGATGAGGCCGCTGTCATAACGGCCCTGCACTGCCTAACTGTGATTAGTCAGGATGATGCCAAGGGAAGCCAGCCGCTGTCTGGCTTCACGCCAATCAAATCACAGCATGCGATCAACGTCATTCAGATGAAATAACGTGAGTTGTTAGCAACTTTAGCTGGTACAGTTGTGGAGGGTGGAGATTTGGAGTATTTAGTTATTATAAATAGTTCTACTAAATTACCACTACAGCAGCAATTTAAGATTAAATCTGACGGAAGACCAACGCCAAAACTGGAGCTGGGCGTGGAGAGAAAAAAGGGGTTTTGGACGTTCAATGAGGAAAACTAGATCCTTACAGTGTGGCTAGCTAGTAGTAGCGCCAAACTTCAACTGACTCTGTTGTTGCGGAGGACGAAAAGCCAGTGGGAAATTCTATAACTTGGTTATTGACCACTTCTCCACCATGACAGACAGGAGAAATGTCACCTCCTTCTCTCTCTGAACTTAATTGAATTGCAGCTATTTGTGCGATTTTTAATGTGGTTATATTGTGTTTTGCTTTGCTTCCCTGGATTTAGCTGTGAATGAATTGTCAGTTGAAGTAACCGTATTGTTTTTACTGGGGTTAGATAATGAGAACCACAGACAGCACAACATTTGGCCAAGCATTAAGAAGTATCTAGGCCTATTTGATACATGCACCACTGCTACTGTGCAAATGTATTCAATCGTCTTCTGATTGAGCTTGTGAATGCTTCTTTTATTCTTAACCTGCACCATAAGCAGCGGGATATGAATGCTATTTGGGGTGAGAGAGAGTGACTGAGTGAGTGAGTGAGAGAGAAAGCGAGCGTATGTCTCTTCCCTTGATAACAGTGCGCATCTTTAAAGTTTGTAAAATTATACCCTGCACTGTAATAGCACAATGCATTAGATAATTTCCCTCCAAAAAGAACATCCCCTCTCACTTGGCTTCCCCAAAAATGTACCCCACCCCACTCCACTGGTAAAGGTAATCTGTGCTTTTAAAGGATAAAACACAAAGTGTTTTTGAAGCATTTTAATGTCCAGTCTGAGAAGTCACAAGAAAAATGAATGCTTCAGTAATAGTGAGCCACTAGTTTAGCCGACCTGGTTACATCAATCACATATTATTTTTTCCGTCTTAGTGACACATCCATGTTATGCCCACAGTTTTACCTGGTGCCCATCCGTCTTTATTGCCCTCTTTTTCTCTTTGATTTAACTGACTACAAAGTGCTTCAGACTCATTCCTCACGCTAATATGTTTGCAGCTGTCATCCTGCTCGTCATTCCCCAGAGACAAATGCGGTTCAGCAGGAGCTGAGGGCAGTGGAAAGAACATGCCTACTGCCAGGTAAGACGGCAAATGCACATGCACACATGAGGAATAATTTACAGGTATTAAAATGATTCAGCTTTGGATTCTTACCACATGCCTCTTGCCAAATCAGTCAAATTTAACAAGACTTTTTTTATGAGACACTGGAAGGGGTATATATACATATATTAAGTCACCAACTGGGCTTATTTAGGTTTACCAGCAATTGAATTTCTAATTTGAAAGTGTGTGAACAGTGCATGTGTTAATAATTTGTTAGAAGCCACGTGGCAATCTCTTTGAAAATCTCCTCATGGAAAGTGAACTTCTCTCCAGGAAGAGCTCTCCGCCTCTCATGTTTGCTTGTAGCGAAGCAGCAGGGAGGATGCTCTGAGCTCTAACTCTGCTGGCGGTTGAATGACAGCGGAGCCAGGTTGTTCCTTTTTCTCCAAATATCTGTCCTTCAACTGCTTCCCAGAAAAACTCATTTATGCCTCTGCCTGACTGAGGTTTTCCAGATCCAAACGGTTGTTTTCTTTGAAAAATATTACCTCAGCTTCTGCCCATTCAAACAGGCTTCTCAGCACTTCATTAAGGTGTTAAAATGTTCCTGTATTGTTCAACTTTATTATGGCGTTAGTTTACTCTCAATGGAAAATGCCACAAACACCTAACTATTAACAAGATCACTCAAGTCCAGCTAATAAAGCAGAAAAGTAAACGTTTCCTTATGCAATGGTCATTGTATAAACCTGTCCATAAACACACAAAGCATGGCCCTGCATACTCCAGCTACTGTTGTGGAGCAATTGTCACTATGTTTTCCTTGCCTATTTTTACTGTGCACTTTTGTTTTATATGACAGAATATTAAAAAATGACTTTATGAGCACAGTGAACGTCACTGCTTTATTCTGCAGTATTGTTTAGTTGAAATGGCTTAAGGAATGATAGCAGAGATTCTCAGCAGGTCACATAAGAACACTCCATTCCCTGGCAAAGATATGGATATTTGGAGCTATTTGGAGTTTTTTTGTTTGTTTTCCCCTTGCTGTCTGGGCAGCCCTGGATATGGTTGTGTTTATTGGCTAAGGCCCTTAGTTCAACAGTTAAGGACATGTTCCATGTGCTGTTTCTAAAGCGAACAATCTGTGTTGTTGTCACTGTCCTTTTGAAGGAAGTCATTTTACATGTTTGGTGAAAAATTGTTTGATTTTTTCAGGGTAATTATACCATTAATTGTAATTTTGGCACTAGTGGATGATTTCTCTGTTACCCAATAATAATAATTTTTTTTAAATCTGCAGCTGCCATATTTGCGTCTACATTGGGGCTACAGCGAGATGCAAATCTAGACTCGTTTCTATTCTCTACTAGGAGGAAGTGGTTACTGTTAAAGTTAAAGTAGAACACTTGTTACACCAAATTAAGTTGAATGTAAAATAGCTCTTAGTGTGAGGTTTTCTGACTGGAAATTAACACCCACACTAAATGTTTCCACAAAGGAAAAAAAAGCTGATATGAACTCATATTTTATATTCGAGCCGGGCCGGAAACCCTACAAAAGAAAAGTTGCTCTTCAAGATGATCTCATGTGATGAAGGCAACTATATGGATAAGCAAAACAGCAGTTTTAATTAATGAGGGTGAATGTACAGAACTCGTTTTTGATTGAACAAAGCAAACAATTTACAGGATTTTTTTTCATCCAGTGCCGAAATGGTGAAGTCAGAGGTTTGGACAGCTGGGCCTCAGGGTAGAGGGCAGGATGTGGCGAGATTAGAAGAACCTGATTAACAGAAAACAGGCTGGAGCAAGAGGAATCTCCTTGCATCTCTTAATTTCCTTCACTTATCCCCTTTTTCTCTCCATGCCTTGATCCCATTCCTACAGAAAAATACATGGACGTGCCACAGCTCTACTTCCTCTTGTTATCATTCGGGGGGGGGGGGGGGGTTCCTTGGTGCTTACATCCACTGTAACATCAAACAAAATTTAGATGGAGAGCAAGGGACTCAACTTAGGATCTCTTTTGTTTCATCATAAAGGCATTTTGAACCTGGGGTTTTCTCATAAGACAACATGCACCATACGGGTGTCTGGGTTTTTTTTTTGCTGTAATTCTTCGGTTCTTCATCCCACGGAGAGCCTTTGTTTTCCCTGTGTACACACACAGATGTGTGATGATTGGCAGGGTGAAGGAGTATTGTCTTTCCTATCTGCATTGGTATTACAGTAAATGCTCACATGACTTCAGGGAAGAGCTGTTTTTTTGCTGAATGTTCAGTGATGTGAATATGGATGAATAGATCGGTCGGAGGGAGAGGTACGTTTATTTTGAGTGTATAAATGGCCTTTGGTGAAAGTGTTTTCCAGAACTTTGCCTTCATTCTGATTCAGAGATCACAAACTTCACCCTTTACAACTCCCCCCTCCCCCCTTTTCACCATAGATGTATAGCATATCTGACTAAATCTGCTAAAAATTTATTATATAGTCATCAATCAACTGCACATTTACTCAGGGCATGATCTTCCATTGCTTTCAGCTCTAGTTCTGGTCTAGACTGCTTTCACATGGTGTGGAGAGGCAGCCTGATGTGAGGAGTGACTAATGCTGACTGGACAGCAGTCTGCATGGTGCAGCAGTAGGCTACCAGATGTGTGTGTGTGTGTCTGCATCACTGATTGTTCCACTCAACACACAGACACACACACCCCTTGACGTCTCCCAATTGGTTACTTGCAGGTATTTAACGAGACTTTAAAACTGGGAAACACAAGCATTTGATCCTACTTTTTAACCGGGAAGAAAGTGCTGACCCCGTCGTACAGTCCCACACATTTGGCTCATGAATTTAATGGAAACCAATAAATTAGATTGGCAGAGTTGCCTTTGGGGGTGTGCAACAACTTCCTGAAACTTAGAAGACTGAAGGTCTGAATGCATTTTCTGTACATTCTTCCAGGCAGGCAAGTGAACCCAGCAGCCATGAAGTCTCACATCCACTGATCCACTGGCATTGATGAAAATGTCACAGGTTGTTTAAACAAGCTCCTCCCAAATCTTTCTTAGAGTGTGACTCCTTAATATAACTTGAGATCTCTCATTACAGATTGCATGCCTATGAGGTGTGAGCAGAGGGACTATCATTTCTTAGTCTACTGTTTCCTTTGAAGGGTTAGGGTTAGGGTTATTTTTCGTATTCCTCACCCAGGCAATCCTCTTGCGACCCCATACTTTTATTTTTCATGTTTAATAACCACTTGTGTGGCTCCCAACCCCCGCTGTTTTAAACTTTAAAGAGAGCTCTCATGTTTCAACAGTAATATCATGTAGTTAGCTTGAACTTTTCCTCACTCCTTCTGCTCACATTCTTGTACATATTTATAATGCTTTACCTTCTGACTCAAGATGCACAGCAGGGAGCAGAAAGCTGTAGATAACGACACAGGCTGTTGTCTTTATTTAAACCCAACTTTCACCGACAGTCTGCTCTTTGGTGTTAGTGGTCAAAATGTTTTGGTCAAGCTCTTAAATACAGAAGAAGTTGCACAAATATAAACAGGTTAGAGGGAAGTTTGGTTTATGGTTCTTGCACAATTAACCATTCTGTAGCTGCTCCTTTATTAAAGATAGGCTCTTATTTATCATCTTCTTAAATAGCAGTTGTTGAACCGGCCGGTCATACGGCAAACGTGTGAAAATTAGTGAGACCATCCCACTGGCAAGACTAGCCGCAGCTCAACAGAGGAAGTTCAACAAATATCAACAATTTGGCTGGATGTTTGCGAGGAGTGTAGTCACTCTAGCTTTTAACCCTGGATTCCGTTCAAAGAACACAAAAGGTTTCCAAATGCTTAAAATCACTGACACGGGCAAAGTGAACAATACTAGATCATGACCTTTTATTCATATTTCAGAGATCTTGTAGCACTGTATTTGCCCAAGTACCTGAATGGACAATACAGCCATTGTGCACAAATGATAATCTTGGCTTCAGTACTCAAATATATGTATAATATAAATAAAGATTACAGAATTGTCACAGTGGCTTGTTTCTGTACAGTCTTATCTTAGTGAATTATCTGTGTATCCATCAATGAAGTGTATCATTTTCGAAATGATTACTTCTTCTACTTCCTCAACCCCAAATATTTAATACTGAAAGCGGCTCTGATCAACATTTCTATATTAACAATGGATGAAATGACTATCACCTATCCCCCAACTCTGCAGTTCCTGTTAGCTCTATGAAGCATTTTAGCATCTTTAATCCAATTTTTTACAGCTTTACTGTTCTGCATAACAGCAGGCAGCTGTTTTTAATGAAAAGGCTCTGATAAAACCACAGAAAGTTTGCAACTTGCTGGTAAACAAAGTGGAGCATTAAGCGGTTAAAGAGACAGATATTTCCCTTATGAGTTGGTAGAGAGCAAAACAGAGCTTAAAGGAGAGTTTGGACTTAAAAGGTAGACACAAACACGACTTCAAATTATTGCTGATGTTGCTCCGTATCTGCTGGATTTGCCACTGTTTGCTAACACGTTTCCATAGCAACTTAATGAGGTAAAAATATTTCAAAGTTGCAACAAAAGAAAATATGATGTTGTTTAAGTTGGTGTCAAAATATAACAATTTTAACATACAACATTTATTAAGAACAAAGGAAAATAGTTTGAAAATCATTAATAAACATATATTACCCAACAATACCCATAGCATTCAAATACTATCATAATGCCTGGTTGTTCATTTTTCCAGCTCATGTGCAGAATACACACCACAATTCAATTGCACCATTGTCCAGTTCATCTCCATATAGTCCTGTCTCATCTTATCAGTTGAGTCAACGTGGTCATGCAATTTGCGTTATTGTTAAAGTACTTCAAAGTGCTCGCATTAGAAACTATAATACACTTCGTTGTTTGTTTTGTATATTTAACACAATTGCCGGTTCAGTGCAGCCCACTGCCGACATCAGAAATGTGGTGGATTTCAGAGAAGGATGCCCTCTACTGCCCTTCACTTGAAGGTATTCCAGTCTTTTAAACCTCACTACTGTCTCTAGAAGTCATCATCTAAGTCAAAGTTTGTGAGGCGTCTTTCAGGGAAACCATAAACAGATTTACTCTTCTTCTTCCTGCTCTCTGCTCCCGTGTGTGCAGCGTCTTCAGAAAAGGACAGGTAGGCGGCCATGCTGTTCCTGACGCCATAGCTCACCATGTTGTCACTTTCCAACGCTGTGCTGACCAGCTGTCTCCTTTTAAGGGAGGAGATGAAAAAATAAATCAGAACAGAGCATCTTAGTGTTGGTACTTTAGTCTTTTGTGAAAAAAAGTACAGTATAATTGCCTCCTAGATTGTAAGAGATTACTTAAAAGTCCACCAGGGATTTGCTTGACTATCTATACTCAATAACAAGTAGTTAAGTATTTTAATGGCCAATCAAAATAAAATCAGCAACTATTTTGATAATAGCAAAATTGTTTTAGACAATTTTCATGAGAAAATGCCAAACATATTGGATTTTAGTTTGAGGATTGGCAGCTTTCCTTTGTCATGCATTATAGTAAAAGTAATATATTTTGACTGTTAGTCAGATAAAACGTTTGACTCTGGGAAATGAGAGTGTAAAAGGTCACTATTTTCCAACGTTTTATACACAAAACAAATAATCAGCAGATTAATTGGAAAAATGATTGTTAGCTGCAGCACTAATCTATATTCTTGCATCTGATCTTTGCTATTTGGACATCCAGTACAAGACCAGAGATCAGATGAAGCCTCTGTTTTACCTGTCTACTTTCCTCCAGTCAAAGTTGTGTCGCATGACAACAGGTGGTGCTCCAGAATTTACATCTGGTGGCGGCGGTGTGCCTGACAGACAGGGGGTGGTTAATGCACAACACAGGCCATCTGCAAAGTCTGCAAAGTCAAGGATAGGGGAAGTAAAATACCGCTCAGAAGCTTACAAACAAACACAGTAAAAATGTTATGTTGCATACTTTGCATTAACCGCTCTCATACTCTACTGATCAGGCAGCAGCTATTACAGCATATAACGCCAACCCTTCTCTCACAGTGTACGCACCAGTGGTCAATATCAAGCATGCATGTTGTATCTCATTTCCTGTTTTGTTCCAAAAATGTTCTATTAGACCAGGAAATATATATCCACCAATGATAACACTTCTATCTTAAGAACACAATGTATTATTTGATTGTAAATGCGTTTCCATGGTGTATGGCTCTACATGTCATGATGTTTGTTTCCTTCCTTTTTGTTTGTTTTTAGACCCAAGTGTTTCTGTTCATTCTGTTATGTCTGTAGGTTTTCGTGCATCTACCCACCAGAGTAGTGGTTGATCATATCTTCAAGGCACTGGAAAGTGAGGCGAGGAGAGATGTAGTACCAGCTGTTGTCCAGTCTGAAGATACGATAGTGCTTTATGATCCTGTGCTTCACTGAGAGCGAATACAGACCTGAGGATACATACCGACAAGATACTTTCAGTCAGTAAGCACACAATGGTGTCTGGTCTCTGTATTGTTACCCAAGAACACGAAAAACCACTGACCAAATCATACTGATGTTGTGGGAAAATGGGTAATCTTTCTGTTCATCTCCTCTCTTGCGTAATCATCGTACATTTTCGTATCATGAGTAAAGAGAAGTTTCAGAACAAACAATGAACACAGAGAATATGTCAGGCGGGAATCCGCTTACATGTAATTCCACTAATACATGTCCTCTAAGAAAGGGTTTTGGGACATTTTGGGTAATCTCAATATTGTCTTTGGGAGCAGTTACTCCATGAAGTCCTGGTGCCCGGCCAAGATATAGTCAGATTAAACAAACAAGATATGACGTGTTAACTGGCGATCTTTAGAGGTGTTGGTAGGCAGATTGTGTTTCCTTTGGACAGCGTAGCTGTTTCCTATTTCTGTCTTTGTGCAAAGCTAAGATAATAGACTGCCAGCTGTAGCTTTTATATTTAAATAATGCCATAAAGTTATATTTATTCCATTCCAAATCCCCAATTCCTTTCATTTCTAATCTCTCTTCTAGGAATTCTTGTTTTCAGGTGGAAACATCAGTGAAAACCATTTCCTTGTCAGTATTGGACTCAAGATGCAGGTCGTTCTTGTCTTTCTCTCTTCTTCAACTAGACCCCTCTTGTTCATGCTTTGGATCTGACTAGCTCTCGCCTTAGCTTATCTTTTACTCCCCTGCTCTTGTCTTAACATCAACCTGACCTAATCTCGGCACATGCTTCCTTGTTGACAAGGATTTAATTACCTATGCAGACACTCTGTACTCACTTTTACAGAAGGCCCCAGTCAAACCAAATTAAAAGAGCTGATTGCAGACTGTTGCAGCAAATGTACTCACCTCTCTCCCTGCTGCTCTCCCGCACCAGGAAGGAGCCCACTCTGTTCACAGGTAGTAAGAGCAGCTCCTCGGCCTTCTGCCTCTCCACCCCCTCAAACAGCCACCTGACCCAACGAAAAACATCAGATCTCATTAGATACTTGCTGCATTTTAAACCTTTCATACCATTCATATTAAAGACATGACACTGAAATCAACACATGACTAATTTTGTGTGTTACTTACATATCCTGTTACCTCCCTAAAGAGATATCATAGAGTGGAAAAAGATGCATTTGATATTTTTTGCCCTTATCAATTTAAAGCAAGTTCACCCAGACCTACTAGGCAGATTCTAGATGATAGTGTGGGTATAATTTTACTTACCCATGGTACACTTTGGCCACATGGCTGTTGGGTATGTAGTTCTCATTTCCTGTTTGAATAGAGCGGACTCTCCACCAGTAAGCCTCCCTGACAACCATAAAGAGGCAAAGAGGAATCAAACACTGACCTTTTTGTGCAAGCACTTCTCTATATTTCAAACTAAAAGCATCAAGTTGCAAAACAAAAACTTAACCATGACAAACAAATGTCCTCCTAGCTATATGAGATCTTTTGTCTACAAAATGTGTGTCTGGATCGGAAAACTTCATTGATTTTAATCAAGTATGCAAAAATATGATCGTACTGAGCGATAACTCTGAGCTTCTCCCCCATCCTGTAAATGGGCTCGCTGATTTCACGAGACGGGTAGTCCTGAAGCACCACCACAATGTCGTCTTCCAAACCTGCCGAGAACAATATTTACTGCGTTTACAAACAGCCAAATGCTGACACACAGACATCATGATTTTGGAAAAGTCCAGCGACGTCTCAGACCAAATGTGTAGCTTACTATATCATAATATCTCTGATAACGTCAGACTGTTAACATAGCTGTGTGTATTGTTACATACAAATAAATTATTTCTGGCAATTAGTATGCTTCAGTGTTTTTTGCAGGCTCCATGCAAAAAATGTTATCAGTGAAAATATCACACTTTTTACTGTACAAAGATGATGATTGCTGTGACTGACAGTAGTCACTATGCGTGCTCCAAAAATACTTTAGTTACAGAACAAGTGATGTTAAAAATGTTTACCTTTTTGAGAGCTGTCATGGTTGTCCGTGTTGACCTTGACTCTGGCACTCGCAGCTCGCATCATATTCCCCATCGTCCAGTCTGAAGTCAGGGCAGAGAGACAGATTGTGATACTGTGAATGTACTCCTCCCATTTTTCCACTTATGTACTTATCTGTATTTTTTTATACCACTAAACTTCTCTCTACTGCTGCACCACGAAGGTTGTAACTTCCTATGAGCTGATCATTGAACAACAACTGACTGATTCTGTACAGAATGGGGAAGCTGAGACTAGATGCTGTCATACTCAGTTTTCCATTGCAGCCCTGTGTACTAACCACTGACGTTTATTAATTATATTGTATTAATAAATTGCAAAATCCTGTTCCCAAATTGCAATGTTATATTACATTATTTACATTATGATTAATCAAAAACACATGCGTTTGAACACATCCTGCCCATGTCACACTTATTCTTTACTTACATCACACAGTGTTCAGTTGACGGGTGGGGAGAAATAACATTGCCACTGATACAGAAACTATGAGTAGTACGTAGCAGAACCAACTGATGTGCTAAAATGTAGACGCATACCTGTAGGACTTGTAGCTCGCCTGCTGTGATGGCCTCAAGTGTGCTGAGAGAGATGACTGCCCAAACAAGACATGGTGGCAGCAGCAGAGTCTGGCACTAGAGAAGTACCATGTTCACAAGGGCTTACTGCTATGACCTGTCATGGAGTGTGGCGACAGTGCTGTATCTGACTGCAAACTCACTTCCTGTAATGAAATGAGGAAGAGGACCAGAAAATGCGTTGTTGAGACATACAGAACAGATTGTGAAGGAAGAGGTTACAAAGCACCCCTCTCGATGTAGTTATTTAGTGTAACTGAAAGCACTATTGTGTTTTTTTGTTGATATTTATAATTCATGTAGATGTTTAGATGTCTAGACTGCAACAAAATGATTGCAAATCAAGATTACTCTGAAATAAAAATAATCATTAGTTGGAGCTCTACAATCAATTAAAATCAAAATATTAGCACATTGTTACCTATTGTCACTGCAATATATACGTTAAAGCATCAGTATTCAGAGACCTCATTGGTCACTTGAGAACTTCACACCTTAATGTGGCTGCATTAAGGTGTGAAGCATTAAAACCGTTTGAGTTAGACAGTAAACAGAACTGAATTTCTCTTCCTTAATGGCCATCAGAAATAAAGGCAAGACAAAACACTTCAAACATGGTTCATATGGTTTACATATAATAATATATGTTTTGTGACCACTGTGGTTATCTGTATAGTCATGGCATCACAAATAGCACCATAGTTATATTTCTGCTAAAGCAGAAACAAAAAATCTGCTCAACTGTACTTAGTAATCATATATAGCTGCAGAAGAGCTTTCCCTTGCATTGCAGAAAGACAAGAGGGCAGAGTTAGAAAAACTTAAAATCTAAAGATATTTTTGCTCTGTACATGATAGACACAGAAACATGAAAATCATGTAGTGAATCTCTCATGAATCTATATATATCTGCAGAGGGGAAACTGTAAGTGGAAACCATCCAATTTCAGATCTGTGACCTTCTGAGAGAACGCATCCCAGTCTGGATGGCATTAATATATTTATATGTTCATGCTCTGTGTGGGGCGGTGCGGTGGTGCAGTGGTTAGCCTCACAGTAAGAAGGTCTTGGGTTCAAACCCCTTTCTGTGTGCATGTTCTCCCCATGTCTGCATGGGTTCTCTCCGGGTGCTCCGGCTTCCTCCCACCATCCAAAGACATGCGGACTAGGTTGATTGGTGACCCTAAATTGTCCTTAGGTGTGACTGAGCATGTGTGGTTGTTTGTCTATGTGTGGCTCTCTGATGGACTGGCGACCTGTCCAGTGTGTACCTCGCCTTGTCTGTTTTTTTTCCTATTAGTTCTCTTAAAGGCAGGAAACTATATAATCCCCACTTATTTAGCACCTCAATATTGTTGTTTTTATTTAAATCACAGTATTTTTGCACAAACAGCTAGAGCTAAACAAAACTTTTATTTTGACAAAACATACACCCTCGGACTGTCAGTCAAAATGTCAAATGGAACACCATGTTTACCATCAACCTAATCTGATTCAACCCATATATATGGATAGATTGAGTGCGTCTGAAGCCCCATATCCCTGGTTACATAAGAATATCCCTCTGTGCCACACTTTATTATTCTCAAGACAACTTAGCTCATGCATTTTCCATATTAAAACCTGGATTAGACTGCTCCAGACCATTAGGCCTCTTTCCTCTGCCACCTTTCCTTTCTGAATGGAGGCACAGTAATGCAGTAAAAACAAAAACTGGAGACAGAGTAAGAGATCAGCCTAACTGGTAAATTAAAACTTAAAACCCTTTGGGGACTTTTGAAAGCAGATAAATAGTGGTGTCATATAAACCTTTTTCATATCTGCGTCACGGTGGAATCTTGGCAGATATTAGTTAGAGTCAGAAAACAGTGAGCTGGCAGTTCCTTTTGTTGGCTTCCTGCTGTGTGAGGAAGAGAGTCAGTTGTGAGAAATAAATATTCCTTAGAGGAAGTACCGTCCATCACATCGTGTCCAAACTGAACTTTAACTAAACCGAATTTTAAGGCTGAACGAACAGTTTTTCTGCTGGTTGTTAAAAAAAAGCAGCTGCTGTGGCTCGGTGGGTGGTGGCTGATGTCAGATGCCAGGACTCTAACTGTTGTGGCTGCAAAGAAGGAAGGAAGTCTTTATCGGCTTCAGATTAAAATAAATACAAGGTCAACATGCACTGTCGCCTGTGTGGTGACGGTGTAATGAGCTCGCAGTTTCATCTTCTAGAATGTGCACCATTTCCTGTGGGCAGTTTTATGCTTTTTTAGAAAGTTTCAAAGTAGATGTTGCTTGTATTTATGGCTGGAAATGTTACAGGTAAATGTCTTCTTTGCTTCTCTCAACGACTTTGTGCTACAGCAGACAAGCCTTTTCTGATCTTTTGTGAACTGTGTTAGTTCAGCCGCATTACGTATGGTTTAAGTCTTCCAGAAACAATGTACCTGTTACTCGTGATAATCTACGGCCCCTGCTGCAAACAGTCCTTAGTGCATCTGCTTCTATTATACACTGTAGTGTGTATTCTGTTTGTAACAAAGTCAAGAATAATCACATCATGTACTTAACTAATAGGAGCAATATCACACTGTAAAAGTATTATCAACACAATGTATCTAGTACAATACTAATACTATTATATTTTTGCATTAATTATTAATGATGCATTCCTGTGTGATCAGCACCTTTGTCAAGGTGGAGCAAATTCTAACCAGTGTACATCTTTGTGTAAAATCTTTATGTAAAAGGTAACTAGTAACTTTAGCTGTTAGATAAATGTAGTGGAGTAAAAAGTATGATTTTGCAGAAATACTCAAGTATAAGTACCAAAATTGTGTTTGAATACATCACCTGAATTAAGTTACATTTTACCATTAAATTATAAAACCATAACAAGTATTTAAAGGAAAAAAGAGGGGGGGAGTTACAAATATAACATACAGAAGACAGTATAGGGGAAAAGGGATTTAAAAGTACACAACAACAGGTTTTTAAAAAGCATTTAGGCATATATGGCTATTACTTCATTCTGGAACATTTTCGTCCTTGACTACACAGCTTTTTTTATTTTGTTATTCTATTCAGGTCCTGGCTCCTGTCACTGACAGTGCCAGAGCCATGTGTGTCTTTCAGTGAGTCACTAGCAGACATAACACAGGTGAAACTCAACTAGTGGGGCCATCCACATTGAGCTCCAGCTCAATGGACTCTTTGTTACATTGGGATGAAAAACTTAAGGTCATTAATTGAGACTCCTTCCCATCTACATTGCCTCTATTCATAGCCTTTCCTGTCTGACATTAGATTAGGCAGATGTTTCTTTGGAAAATTACATAAATAACATTGTAGAGGCTGGTGCAGTTGAGAAAAAGGAAGAAATTAAATCATAAGTGGGTATTAAGCTGCCACACACCGTTGCCATTACCATTACTGGTATCTTTTTTTATAGACCCATGTTCATGTCAAGACACTTGCAACAAATGTCTTTATTCCCAAAATGCTCATAAAAGCAGTGTAACAGGTGTTTGCAGGTGTTACGCTGGTTGCAAAGCTGATATTTAGCTGTCAGAGACTTTCCTCACATGGATAATTGCTAAAGAGGTCTGCGTGATTGATGTCCCATTGCCTGTATGTAACACATGTTGGAAAAGTTAAGCTCCAACTTTGAAGATGGTCAATGATTTGTAAGCACTTTTTTTTCTGGGCAACATACACTCTTTCTCTGCATCTCATAAAGACAGATGCTCTCTGTCTATGGCTGGAGTTAGCCACAATTGCCAGTGGCTGGTGTGTAGGAGACTGGATATGTTTGAACATTTCAAGGAGAAGTGACTTCCACGCCCTCTGTCTAAAGTTACGAAATTACTGACTGTTAGGAAATCCCATCATAATTTATTTTTCTGGGAGTCTAAATCAAGACTTGTTCATATGGCTTTAAGGAGTGGAAGCAGGAGGTGATTGTTGTTATAATGAATCTGTCCGCAGTTCCTCTTTTCCTTAAAACAATACATTCCACGCGCTCGGACACTGGTAGTTATGCCTTATGTGGTTGTTGTGTTCTCTCACTGTAATGAGCAGTATCTAAATACAGAAGCAAGGCTGACCCCACTGGACTCGAAACCACAGGATTGACAGGAACAGGGGGGGGTGTTGGCTATATGTGCATGTGTATGTAGCTGCAGCTTTTTCAGCCACAGTTTTATCCACAGACCAAAAATACTTACATGAAGGAGCCCAAATCTTCCACCAGTTAGCCTGTAATCATTAATATAACGTGGTCTGTATATGTGGGTCATTCAGGCATCTGGAGCATCTTATCCACCAAACAATCTGCACAAGTAATCAGCATTCCTCAAAGCATTCACAAATATTCCTCAAGAATAATCCTCAGATAATTTTCAGCAGCATTGTTATTTCTATTTGCTTATTTAGTGATTTGAAATAACTATAATAACATAGCATTTTAACCCCAGAGCACACTTCAGTGGAATCATTTTGGTGATTGTAATGGTAACATAATTGGATGAAATTGCATTAAGAAATTGGAGCCTGTACTTGCAAACCACTTCATCATTATAGCAGAGTTTGTGAGGAGAGAGAGAGCACAGGGCTGTAAAGTTGTCCTCTGTTAAGTCTTTTCTGGCAGGAAAGCAAAAGCAAAGTTCCCCAGTGGATCAACAACAACAGCAACTTTAAGACCTGAAAACCTCCCCAGACTTGAAACATTCACGTTCAGTCTGCTGCAATAATGATACCTGACTTAATGGCTTTTCTTTCAGCTGTGTGTAGGAAAATATTACTCATCAGAATTACATCACTGACATTACTGTGAACCACGACCACCGTTAATAAAGCTCCAGTATACTGGGCCATGTGATGGCACTTAAGACAGCTGTGGCTGGACCGTCTTGGCAAAATAACTCCCATGAAGAAAAGCTGCAGTAATGAATAACACAGAACCCACCCTGAAAAGCCACTCTTTATTCTCATTCATGTACTGGTCTAAAATTGTTTGAAACCCATTTTTGACACTTTTTATGGTCGATCTTTTATCAGCAACAGCCACTTAATGTATTTACAGTCTGTCTATATAATAGTTGTTACTGTTTGTGGCAGAGTCAACCATTCCGGCGCTGGAC